CAGGGTGGGAAGACGCCCATGAATTTCCCATTTTGTGGGAATTTCCCATTTTCACTTTCCCATTTTGTGCCTTCTCCCCCTCTCTCAACTCCCACACCAACTGCTCTGCTTCCCCTCTCCTCACCACTGCTTCTTCTCATGCTGCTTTCCTGCGTAAACAGACAAGTTTGTGGGGTGTTGGTTTTTTTTTTTTGGAAAATTGGGTTTTAGTCATATGTGTGGAATACAATTCAGCCGTAATGTTCAACTATATGTTTTATTTTCACTTCTGTAGTGTTTCTTTCTGCAAAATATTTGGCTGCATTCTGTGATTGATTTTTGCCAGTTTGAGGAAAACAATCATACATTTGTGAATACAGATCTATAGAAAGCAGCAGTGGTGAACATATTTATGGGAAAGTTGCTATGGAAAAATAAACAAAAATCACAAGGAAGTAGAAATCAACAGATATTAGGAAGCCGAAAGTATGTTGGGAAACTGAACATATTTTGAAGATCTCTTCCCGTGCATTTGAAGGATAGAATGTGAACTGATAGAAAAGATAAATGTAGTTAGAGAAGAATGAAATGTAGCACTGCAACACAGCCTTTGCCAACCTGGTGTCTTCCAGATTTTTTGACTACAACTCCCATCAGCCCCTGCTGGCATGACTGTAATATATAGGACTGATGGGAATTATGGCCCAAAACATCTAGAGGGCACCAAGTTGGTGAAGATTGCTGTAAAATAACCACTTAATTGCCTTCCTCTTGCACTTTATCACCATTGAAAGAAACTGAATGGAGATGTACCCATTACTCTATCTGGAAACCGACTAGCTTGTAGAGAAGGCTCGAGTAGAATATACATTCCAGATCCCACCATTGATAGGGGACAAACCTTACTATGTTAAGACAAACTAAGACCGCATTAATGTGGTCATGTTCAGGTCCAAGATCTTGTGATGCCAGAGTTTGTTGGTTCAATCTAGTTACGGTACATAAGAAATTCTCCCAAGGAGCCTGCGCCATAATATTAACCAGATTATTTAGCAGTCTTGTAGTCTTTAGTCTTGTAGTCTTTAAGTGTGCTTAAAGCAGAATTTTATAACCATCCATTTTTGCATGTCTAAAGCATGACATTAGATGAAAGGAACAAAAAACAAACACCCCCAAAACAGATGGCCATATCACAAAAGAATGATACAGCTACATTAAGATAGCTATTGAGATCTGGCTAGCATCCTGTGTAAAAACAAGGGCACAATACTTTGGGTAAAATATGCAGAATCTGAACAATGAGAAGAGGTTGTTGCTATATATTCAGAGAAAGGGTACATTTTTAAGCTTGAAACTCAGAAGATCATATTGAGGACATAATTTCTATGTTTTAATAAGAAAGTGAGGAGTCAGAACAGCAGATGATTGGAAGAGTGGGCCATGAATGTGTGGTAATTACAGTGTGCTACTGCAATCTCAGAACTGATGTAAGTATGCAATACAGAGGCATTTGAATACAAGTCACGATGCATCCTCAAGGAGCCCAGAGTGACAGTGCTCAAGGTAACGTGAAAGGTATGTTGGTTTGAGTCCCAGGGTTTGGGGGGGGGGGCTCCTAGATCAATTGCTGTTTACTAGAGAAATCCAGCTGACTCAGAGTGCCCATTGCCAACTTTAGTTGGTGCATCACCTATGGCAATTCCTGGACAGGAGTTACATTGGTAACTCATGATTAGACTACCGTAATGCGTTGTAAGTGGGGCCTCTCTTGCACCTGATTAAGAAGTGGCAGCTGGTACAAAATGCAGCTGCCAGGTGAGACACCGAGCTTTATACATTTCACATCAATGTTGGAAGATCTGCACTGGCTGGCTATTAGCTGCTGAGCCACATTCAAGGTTTCATTGTTGACATTTACTGCCCTAAGCAACTTTGGACCAAGATGCCTAGCAGAGTGTCTGTCCTGGTACAGACCTAGCTGATCTTTCAGATTTTCTAAGGAGACAGCCGGCAGGTTGTCACGAGTGAAAAGTGAAATTCCCCCCTCAAGTGGTTTGCGGAGACAGTAATGACCTTTAAACACCTTTTAAAAACTTATGTTTACCCACTCTTTCCCGAACACTTTTATTTTTGTTTTGTACACTACTCAGTTTTATCTGCGATATACAGTTGTTGTTTTTTAATCTAATTTTTTTAGGAAGTTGTATTGAGTGTTTGTGGGGATTTTAGTTTACATAAACCACTCAGAGTTGTTGTTTTTTATATTACAGGGTATACATTTAAAATAAATATACAGATTGGGCAAAGGGAATGTATCCAAAACTGAATTAAATTAAAATATCATTACATAAAGGACCTCCTTCACAGGGAGATAGATTGTGTCTGTGTGTGTAGCTGCATTGATTCTCCTAACCTCTGAGCTGCTTGCTGTAATACAGACTATGGTACCTTTCTGGTTTGGGTGGCTTATTTGGAGATTGACAGAGATTTTGCTATCCACTCCCAGAAAGGTCTCAGTGGTTATTGCTATACTACTACTACTACTACTACTACTACTAGTAGTAATTTATTTGTACCCCACCCATCTGACTGGGTGGCTTCCAGCATATATAAAAACATAGTAAACCTTACAGAGCTTCCTTTTCTGGCCTGCCTTCAGATCGTTTCCTAAATGTTATATAATTACTCATCTCCTTAGCATCTGATGGGAGGGCATTCCACAGCATGGTCACCATTACCAGGAAGGTCCTCTGCCTGGCTCCCTGTGGCTTCACTTCACAGTGTGGGAACCGCCAGAAGGCCCTTGGTGTCTGGGCTGAATGATGGGGATGGAGACGATCCTTCAGGAATACAGGGCCGAGGCTATTTAGGGCAACTGTGGCTCTATCCCATTGGATTTGTCCTGAATAGAGCATGCAACACCTGTGCTGAAAAGTCTACAGTTAACATTCTTGGCACAATTTGAAGTGCTTAAGGTCAATCTACCTTGAACTAGGCCTCTTCCTGAATGAACTTGCCCATACATTGAGTTCAGCAGTTGGGCCCCTGTTTGAGTGCCAGTATTGTCTGATTTTGGATGGCTGGAATGAAGGGTAAGAACATAAGAGGAGCCCTTCTTAATCTGGCCAAAGGCCCATCTAGTCCAGCATCCTGTTCTCAAGGTGGCCAATCAGATTCCTAGGGGATGCCCACAAGTGGGACATGCATGAGCTTAACATCACTTTCCCCACTCATGTTCCCCTGCAACTGGTATTCACTGTCTCCAGTACTGGAGCTGGCACACAGCCGTTATGACTAGTAGCCACATTGTTAATGGCGGCACCTGCATTGTAGAATGCCCTCTCAAGAGGCTTGTCAGGCTGCAGTTCTGTATTTATTAGAAGTCTGGCAGTCATGAATTTTATCTCAGACTTACCTAACCATTTTTTTAACAAATCACGCTTATTTACTTGTTATTCAGGTTGCTTATTGTTAAGCAATTTTATTGTACCAATCTGTTTCGAACCATTAAAAAAAACTCCCTGAAACAGCATTAAAGAATGTGGCAGGATGTAAAATCAAATCTGATGAAGACAGATGTCTCTGTTGACTATCACCAGTGAGTATCACATCTTGAGGAACTCTGCATGAAGCTCAAGGGTATATAGCCCCATAAATAGAAATTAACAATGGCTATATTCCTCTGTTCGGCTCTGCACACTGCAATTCTATTGATATTAATGGGCATCAAGTATAATTCAGTGCAGGACTGAAAGCCAAAGAAAATATTTTCTCAAACCATGGGACCCCGCACAAACAAAGTTGCAAACATCACCACTTGGGGCTCAGAAGTGATTTAAATGGGATCTCTATTTGTTTTGCAGGCATAAAAGCAAACATATCCCGTGTGCCCGAGAGACAAATGTGGTTCTACTAAAAACCAAGGTAAGTTTCCCTTGCCTCAAGTCAGGTCTGTATTTCATTTGAAGTACTTAATGTTCAGGTCCTTGAAATGCTGGATGGTAGAGCTAAATGAGCTTGCTTTGTTTGAGCTAACTTCTCCTTACATATACATTTCTAAAAATGTATTAAGGTTTTTCCTGCAAATGAAACAAAGCAAACCACTTCTACCAGATGGTAATGACATTGGCTACTTCATAGGGTTACTTCCATTAACAGATGAACTAACTTCCATGCCTTCCAGGTTATAGAGCCTAAGTTTCTTTCTCTTCTACTTTAAATGCCCACCACACTACAGGTCCGAGGACTGTGACTCACTCATGCTTCCTGTACTTCTGTATTTGTACATGAAGTTCATGTCAAAAGCCATCATGAAAGGAGAGACCACATTTCAAATGTTAATATAGTCCTTGGAGCTTCACGTATTCTAGCTATTATACAGCAGAGAAGGGTGACTTTTCCCTCTTACATTCATTCTCATCTCTGTCACAATGCAGGTGGGGTGGAATATTTTCCATATTAATCTAGGAAAGCTAATCCCATCTGTGGTAAAAGAGAAAGCGGTGGGGGAAAGAAAGCTATCCCTGAGGGTTAAAACATACACAATCAGACATGACAAGCAGTGCAAGCAACATGAGGTCCAATAGAGGTTATCAGGGGGAAAAGGAAAGGTACTTATTAGAAGTTGAATTGCCATACATAATTGTGTGAAAGGTTCAGCTGGTATCTTGACAGCCAATCTTGAAAAAGCAAGAGTCTTTTGAAAAGGAGTATGTCAAGGGAAAAGTATGAGAAGTGTGTGTCCAAAATATATCCAGTCAATCTTCTTGTTAAGACAGTGAACAAAAGGAAAGCAACACACACACACACACACACACACACACAGACAACCCCCAAGGTAATAATGTATGATGTTTCTGCCAGCCCCTAAGACTGGCCTGTCACGCAACAGGGTGAAGTGGTTTTTTTCCCAGGCAGCATCATGCATGTGGATGCAGATGGAGAAAGTAACTGGTGTCTTTAATGGTGCAACAAGACTTTTCAAGTGCTGGTCCTATCAGGGAGAGGAGGGCATGATCGGAAGTGCCATAGCTCAGAGGTAGAGCATTTGTTTTGCATGCAGAAGATCCTAGGTTCAATCCCTGCTACCACTAGGTGGGACTGGGAATGTCCTCTGTCTGAAAACCTAGATAGTCATTGCCAGTCAGTCATACTGATCTAGATGGAATCAGTGGTCTGACTCAGTATAAGGCAGGTTCTGATGTTCCTATTTGGCTTCTACTTCAGACAGCAAAATTTCATGGGCCAGCACTGCCAATGATTAAGATCCCAAACAGTTCTCTGTCCTCCCCGGTAAAGGTAAAGGTAAAGGTACCCCTGCCCGTACGGGCTAGTCGTGTCCGACTCTAGGGTTGTGCACCCATCTCACTTAAGAGGCCGGGGGCCAGCGCTGTCCGGAGACACTTCCGGGTCACGTGGCCAGCGTGATGAAGCTGCTCTGGCGAGCCAGCACTAGCGCAGCACACGGAAACGCCATTTACCTTCCCGCTATAAAGCGGTACCTATTTATCTACTTGCACTTGGGGGTGCTTTCAAACTGCTAGGTGGGCAGGAGCTGGGACCGAACGACGGCAGCTTACCCCGCCGCAGGGATTTGAGCCGCCGACCATGCGATCGGCAAGCCCTAGGCGCTGAGGATTTACCCACAGCGCCACCCGCGTCCCTTGTCCTCCCCAGTAGGCATACACAAACCCTACTCACCCTTGCTTTGGCACCAGAATGGCTCTTAACCCCAGGCCCTCTAAACAGGGAGCTGTTCATTTTAGGTCAGCTCCTCACTTTCATTTTTTGGACTCAGTTACAGATACCCAAGTAGAAACTACAATAGTAGTAGTATTTCAGAAATTCCTTGGTACAGAAATAATATGAGAGATATAAAGAGAGCAGAGGAGGAATGAATAATAAATTGTCAATTGTCAAACTATGACACAGGAACAGAAAAGAATTAAATAAGAAAAAGAAGTAAGAAAAGAAAGATGCATCTAGAAGAAAGAAAGAGAAAGTTAGATGAAGAGGATTTCATTCCTAAGGAGTATATTCCTTGGGCCAGTGGGCAATGGAACATTCCTGTTTTCTTGGCAAGCACCCGAATGCTTCCCTGTTCCAAGTTGACATATGTTCCACCAACACAGAAATGAGGTTTTAAATGCAAATGTGTCATCTGGAATGACCTGAGGGTATTAGTAGTTGTATTTAAGGATGCATGCCCAAATTCAAGGGAGAGATAATTGCATTTTTAAAAATTATTTGTTAAATTTGGATCCTGCCTTTCCACCAAATGTTGTTCGGACATATACACTAGCCCTGCATCTATTTCTGTATATCAAGCAGTGACCTTTAACATCAGCTCAAGAAAGCTCATGTTGAATGGTCAGAAATAATTTAGATTCATTGGTCAGTCTGTCTCATTTGGTCTTTAGTTATTGTATTATTTATTTATTGCATTTACATCTAAGTGGTCTTACAGTTCAGTATTTTTCTTTCATTCGTCTTGTTTAAAATCACATGCAGCCACCACCTCTGCAACTCTACATGACATACACAACTGATGCCCATGATTTAATTTGCCCAAGGCAGCTTCTGCCAACCTGGTACACTTCAAATGCTTTGGGCTACGACTCACAACTGCCTCAGGCAGCACAGCTGCGATGTAAAGGATCACCAGGGCTTTATGTCGACACTTGCTTCTCAAACATATGTAGCAATCATGAAGAAGTATGCTGCTTGATGGATAAATAATGTTTTGCTTGCCCACTGAATAATCACAACCAGCCGATGCATTGAGGACCACAGATAAAAGGCGCCAGGCCAGAGGGCATAAGGTGTAGGCAGGTTTTGGCCTTGGCAATTCTTCTTTCAGAAATGAAGCACCACTTGTGTTTATCACATCCTGATGCTGAAACTTCACATTATTAACTTACAGGTACTTCACTGCTTCCAACTATGTAAATATCCAGAGTGTGTAGGAAAAGCAAACCTAACCTGAAGACCAGATGAACCCAGGTACATTATCTTTATCCTTAAGTACACAAGTGGAAGCTGACTTAGCTTACATTTAAACAGGAAGATGTGATTAGTCTTTAATATTTTAAGTGTTTGTTTAACTTTAGTTTCCCAGTTCATTACCTCAGCTTTAAAGCTACTGAAATGCAATTAACTGAACAGGCTAAGAAGGGGTGGGAAGAACTAATTGCTGGCCAAGATATGGGCTTGAAGACAATAAGTGATTGAGCAATTCAACAGAACCTGTTGGGTGTGATTTAATTACATGAGAAATTTTTTTGGGTGTTGCACTTAGAGAAATTAAATAAGAATGACTTTAAGGTGGGTTTAAAAGGCAGCCATATTTAGATGCAAGCAAAAAATACATTTCCTGGCACAGGTCCTTGGCCATCCACAAAACATGTTGTTCAATGCAACTCACGGCTGTCTCACATTAAGGAGATGAGATACGGCTTACTGCCTGTGTGGGACAATAAAATTGCTCTTTTTGAAAGACCATTAGTGGGCAACCACCCTAAACTATTTTTAAAAGCATTTAACTGATTCTCTAATGCTCCTTATTATGGCTGAGGGCATGACCCACTTGGAATAACATCCAAGGCTATTCTCTCTTCAGTTCTAAAGCCAGACTTTCCTGGGAGGGGAAGGGAATAGAGAGGGTCCAAAGGAAGCCCAGTGTTTCAGAGATCATGTATTGTAAGTTAACTGATATGGACCACTTGCTGGGGGCTCTGCCCCATCCATGCTCCCTTTTGTTTTCAGGTATGTGTCATGTTCACTCAAAAGATTATATGGCCAGAAGAGGACTATAGGTTCCCCATCTCTGGTTTAGATTGGAAGCTCCTTGGGGAAATATTCATTGACAAAGTAGAAGGGGAGGAAATGACTGGATGTTGTGGCACACTATGCACAGCACTCTACAAAAATTCAGAAATAAAACGGAGAACGACAGAGAATTCCTAATGCTCTGGTTCTCATTTTGTTTTGCTGGGTGCATGATGTTTTTACCTTGGATGCACCTGGCAGTATCATTTAAAAAAACAAAACCACTTCTCTTTTTACATGAAACTGTGCCAATCACTCACATTGTGCTTCCTAATACCTCCATCTGGAAGTCTCCCATACCCCTATCAAGCATTTAATAGCTAGATTGCATTTCTTGAAACATCAGTAGTGTATAAATGTGTCTATTCATATAAAGTTATAGCCACATATTTTGGGATTAGAAAATCTCCCTAAGTTGATTCACCACCAGACAAAGGGGCAGAAAGAAGTTATAGTCTGGGAGAAGCTGGGAAGCACATTGCTTGCCCTGAGTAGGTGACTAGCTACTGTATTAAGTCTGGTTAAAAAGAGAAAGCATTTCTACCACCAGAGGGTAGTACAAGAGTGAGGAAAAAAGAAGAAAAATGTGATTTCATTGGAAGTTCTGGAACTTGAGAATTTTGAATAAAAGACTAACTTGCTGGGTGGCTTTCCCCTGTGTTGCTGTCTATAAATGTGTGGCTCTGGAAAACTTAGTGGTCTATGAAAAAATATCCACCAAAGCAGGGGGAACATGTACTAAAGACTTTTGTGCATCTTCCATAGAAGTCAGGTGGGGACATTTAAACCTTATACAGCTATCCTTATATGTCTACTCAGAAGTAAGCCCCATGGAGTTTGATGGGAGTGTGCATAGGACTGCAGCTTTTGCTCCAAGAAGAGTGATTCTGGAGGTTTCAATGGAATGAGAAATGGTAAATCATTGGTCACCATAAGATTCTTGAAGGAGGAATCTGTCCACTTGTATTCTGCAATGCCTCATGCATACTAATGGTGCTGTAATGTAGTAGCTATGTAAAGAAACAATAGAAAGAATGACAAAAGAGCAAGCTAAAATTACTGGGTGATATCCAAGGTTAGTCATAGTAGACACACTAAAAGCAATAGACTTAAGTAATGGAGTCTACTCAGAGTGTGACTTAGTTTGTTTTTAACCACTGCCCTAGAACCAAGTAATGGCCAGAGAGATAAGGATGAAAAGATAACTTTTTAAAAGTTATGTAATTCCTTCTGTCCAATGAAACAAACCATGCTAATAAATGTGTTCTCTGTGAAATCAGATACGGTCTCCATAATATGGCAAACACACAAATGTGCAATTGTCACTTTCTAGTGCCTAGAGGAATGCTTCTAATTTCCTTTGTATTTAATTTATTACCTGTGGCCAACCACAGAGCTCGATCCAACTGCCTAGGTTTCTGCTTCCAGTTTCTGTGACCCACTGAGTTTGGATCACCAAGTGGTCAGAGTAAACACAGCAGAGCTTGCCTTTTGAAATCCAACTGCTTTGTCACAGAAATCTATTCTTTACAGCTTTGGTTCTCAGTGAAAAGCGCCTAAGACTATGGTTCCTCCAAACAAAGCTTCAGGAATATAAGACCTTCACAGGTATTTAAAGGAAACGAAGACAACCTAAAACTGTGTGGTTGCAGTGGTGGGGAGAGTGGAGATCTTATTTCTATAGTAGTAGCCTAAACATTTCAGGTGGCATGTTGTTTCAAAGTAGGGGTTGCTCCTTGGATCTCCCAGGACCAGGTTACCCACTTTTCAGAAAACTGGGAAGAAGGATGAAGAGAACAGGGAATCAGCTTGCTTAGTAATGAACTGTGCTTAATTTATAAGTGTCAGAGGTCAGTCCTGACTGGGGTTGCCTTTTCAGTCCTTCTCCGCATGAGGGCTGCCTATGATGACTTAAGCAACAAAGACATTTTGATTTATTCATACTGCAGGTTTTTTAAAAGAGCAAACAGTACACATAAGTTACGCCAGTTATCCATATGCTTACCTTGTAAGGTAGGTCACTAATATTATTTTATGACTTGTAGGTGAAGGGCTGTGGCTGAGACATAGTGGCTTGCCCAGCAACCTCTAAGGGTCTTTTCCTCCCCATTGTTTGGCATACCTAACAACAACCCCCACCCTCCCAATAAGTGTACCTAAACTCTGAGAAATTAAGAAGAGACCTGATGTATAAGGCCAAAGGCTGTTCTCAGTGTCCAACCAGATATAGATGGGAAGGCAAATGCAGAGCATAGGATCTCTGCGCAGGATCAGGCTGCACAGTCACAACCCTCGCATTCCTATGTATGCTTACTTGAAATGGAAACAGTGCACTGAACATAATGGCACATACTTCCCACTGCATTTGCTCAGATGCCTTATTCTGCAGTCCTAGCAGTGTAGTTTCTAACAGAACTGGGCATGGGCGTAGCCAGGATTTTTGTTGGGGGGGAGGACTCTTGGGGGGCAGTATCAACGCAATTGGTCAGTTAAGTATTTCTATTGTTTTACTTGATGGGGGGCAGCTGCCTCCCTGCTCCCTCTCGGCCATGCCCATGGAACTGGGTAAAAATATGCAACCCTTCCTGCACACAGGAAGTCCCCTCCCCCCCTATTTCTGGTGGTGAAAGTAGTCTGGCCAATTAAACCTGGTTGGCAAAATGAGTTACATGGTTCTCATGGGGATCCAGGCTGTACCCTCCCGTGCTTCTGGGAAAAAAATCAAAGCCCTAGACAGGATCCAGTAAAAAGCTGGAAGTTTATTCTTTGGTGGAAAATAAATACCTGTACAAATAAATTAATTCTCTAATAATTATAATTCCTCAGGTTTCAGGCCTGAATCCTATCTCAAATAGCTGTGATACCACGGAAATATTTTTGGGAAGGGGAATAATTTACCTCAGCCTTGACGATACAGCGGGTTCGTGCTAGTTTTTAAAAGGAGAAATGAAAGAGCCGGAAAGCCTGGCTGCTGGGTGAGGCGTCACTGCGGAAAAAGAAAGGCGCTTTGCTTATGCTCAGAGGCACTCTTTCCCCCTCTGCCGTGTGTGAGCCTGGCGCATCGAGCCCAAGCTTCGCGAGGTATCCTGCAGCAGCTGCCCTAGCGCGACGCTGAAGAGGACGCCCTGCGCGGAAGGCTCCGCTCTGCCCGCCCCTCCCTCCTTCCAAAACTTTCGCCCGACCTTCCCTGCCAAAGTTCCGAAGTTTGGTGACGTCAGCGGCGCGGCCGCCAATCCGCGCCGAAGGTGTTATTTTGGGGAGGGGAGGGGGCGGCTCCTCCGGCTCCGGCGCCCGCCTGCTTCGCCTTGCCCAGTCCATGGAGAGGCGGCCGGCTGCGAGCGCCCCTGGATCGCTCCCAGCTCCGGAGGCTCTGATCCCGGGACCTGGGCGCTGCTGCTCCTGCTGCTGCTGCCGCGGTCTCCAGGGGATAGGCTGGGCTTCCCGCCAGGCGCTTCCGAGTGCGCTCCTGGACTGCTGAGTTCCGTGGCTCCTTCTCCAGCAACCGGTTACCTGGACTGCGAGGCAGAGCAGGATCGGGCAGGTTGTGGCTTAAGCAGCAGACCGGCCCCCTCTCTTCCACCCGCCCGCCCGTTTTGATCCTGCGCGCTTTCCGCCTGGGCTTGAAAGGCAACGCGACGATCCGTCCGGGGACTCGGAAAGAGATGCCTCCCGCACCGCCGGGCTTCCCTCGGCTGCTCTGAGATCGCTGCGTGGCGCCCTCGAGGGCTGCTGGTTGGGATCCGAGGCGCTTTTTTGGTGGGGTTCTCTTTTTCTCCCTCCTCCCCCCCTTCCCCACTTTTGCCCGGAGGAGAAGGCGAGCATGCTGGGCGCAGGGAGAACGAGCTGGGGGCGCCTTGGGCTGCTCCTCTTGGGGATGTGGAGCATCGCGCTGTGGCAGCGGACCGAAGGATGCCCGAGTAAATGTACCTGCTCCGGATCCAATGTGGATTGCCACGGACTGGGACTCCGAGCGGTGCCCCGAGGCATTCCCAGGAATGCGGAGAGACTGTGAGTACCAGCCGGAGGAGGGGGAGGCTGCTTTGCCCTCCAGGTTGCCGAGAAGGAGACTGCTCCTGCCGGGCGTAGATTAGACACAGCTGTTAAAATAAGATAGCCTAAGATAGAAACGGGGAGAGTGGTGCTTTCGCCGGGTTGGACCGCTGGCCACTGGCAGCTTCAGGGCACTGAAGTTCCTGGGGATTGTGAGCCACGGGGAGGTGCCGGGCTGCTCCTCTTAACTTCCTGGCAAGCAACAGAGCTCAAAGCACTCCAGGAAGAGAGAGCCTTATAAAGAGCCTTTGTGGGTTTCTTTTCTAATTGCATAGCAGCTTAGCCATTGTGTGTAAATGCTCAGGAAGGAAAAGAGGGAGTGTGTGGTGGGAGAACCACATGCAACAAGTATGCTTGGCATTTTTCCACATGATGCTCACTGGAATGTCTCACCAGACTTTGCGCTGGCTTACTGACATTTGCACATCCACACTGCATTCGCTCAAGGTGCTTCTGCTTGGTTGCAATTGGAGGGGGCATCTGACTGCCATAGTCAATATGTAGGGTCCTTTAATATGTAGGGCTGGTTTGTGGTTGCCTGCAAGGCTAACCCGAGCAGTCTGTGACTAGTTCAGCCTCTGCTTGTTTCTACAGCTGGTTTTCCACACGCATTACATAACTGTGTGTGTCTGTGTGTCTGTGTGCCTAGTGGATTTGGGGACAGATGGCCCCAAAAGATCTTCAAATAAAGAAATCCAAACATAAATGGGATGTGTTAAGTGACTGGAACCTTATCTTTCCCGTGTCTTGATAGATTCACTAGAGCAGTTCAGGAAATAGTTATCTCATCCCTGATCTAATGCGTGATTAGTTTTCATTTAGCATTTAGTAGGATTATGAAACCAGCCATATAGCCACAAATGAAAAAGCCTACATATTCCTGCAGAAGTGAAAGAGTCTTATGGCACTTTAAAGACTTAACAGAGTCATTGTGGCACAAACGTTCATGAACTAATGACACTACATTGGATGCCCAACATGTTATATCCTCTGTTGGCTAAGGATGCGTACAAGAACCCATTCCTATTACACATGGGTACAGTTTTAAAAATGTAAACAGTGAGGCTTAAGAATCATAAAATGCAGGGAGTAGGTCGTTAACACTTGTGTTTACAAAATGGATAAACTGTGTGTGTGTATTAATCATTCATAATCTTTCTCTCTCTCAATATATATACTGTAATCTATGTATCTATCTACATATATGAAATCTGCCAACACAACACTTCATGCATCAAATGAAGTAGGCACTAATCTATGCCACAGTGTTTCTTGAAGGTGTCGAAAACTGTATCTCTGCTATGGCAGACTAACACAGAATTTTTTATATATTCCTAGTTACTGCTCTATATTACTTTCCAAATACTTAAATGCCTAGTTGCTTTCGTTTGTGCACCCCATTGCCCTCTTTGTATCAAGGAATTTAATGTCGCTAAAACTTTAATCTAAAGTTCTTGGAATTTATTTAAAAAAACAGATACGCCATTGGTTCATTATAGCAAAATCCCATAGGGTCAGTAATATCCCCTCAAGTATTTAAATACCATCTTTAGGACCAGCTAATGCTCATGCTTGCATGGTGAATATCGGTCCTAATGAAGGCACTGCTTTGCTGACCCTGTGAAATCCTTACAAATAAGTTCCATTGTGAATTAAGTGGATTTAGGTCCAAGTACATGTGTTCAGTATTGAGGTGTCAGTTATGCAGCTGGAAGCGTGCAGAGTTGAACACTTCAGATCACCTTTGTACCGTTTTACTATCTGGAGCCAGTAATAAATGAACTGAAGTATGGATTAAATATGTCTTCTTCACATGGCTAGTGACTGAGATTCTAAAAGCTTAAACTTGATTTATGCACATCTTCAAAGGAAAAGGGCTAGCAGACGGATCTCGACAGAACTTTGCATTTGAAGTTCTCTAATAATTTCACTCTACCCTTACGAAAAAAGAAAACATAACATTGAAAATGAGTGTCAAAATTTTTCTTTTGGAGCTGAATCCTTTTGGTTCCAGATGTTGAGCTTCAATCAACAGTGGCATTTGATAGGGTCAAAAAACATTTGAAAATATGGTGTACAGTATACTGAAAATTATGACCCCACACTGTTATGATCTTAGTAATGTTGTCATCTTAGTAATCATACCATGCTTACACTTCGAAATATGAGTCTGAATAAACCTTCAGAACTACAATTTATCCCCAAATGTTGAATGTTTTAGAGAGCTTGCTAGTATCAACCTGTGGCCAGAATTAGGCACCTCTCATGCTTTCTGTGCGCATGTGCAAAATTAATGGAGATGTACCTAGTTTTGTGCTAGGACAATACAGCTTTAGCCAAAGTCTTTTTTTCTTCTTGGAGGCAGGTGTTCCAAGAGCTCCCCAACCCAATTGCAAACTATTCCCCTTCGTGGTGAGAAAAATCCTGACCAAAACTAGCTACATATAAGATTAAATACCTACTTCCCTGGTCCTCCCTGCATCCTGCTTCTTTTCCCATCAGTCGGTTGGGACAGGCACCACTATCACAGGCTGGTGCTTTGGAGAAAGTTCCACATGGTATGACGGGTATTGCTTGTGTCCCTTGGGGATAACAGGTCTGAGAAAGGAAGAATTTTTAGACCATTGCGAAAACTTGATGCATTTTTGGAACAATGTTGTGAATCAAAATGTAGGAATTGATGTAGCAGAGTAGTATTTAGTTCTGCATGCCTTTTAGTTGTGTGCTGCTAAGCCCTCTACTAGTTTGCCATTTTTAATATGCCAGAAGACATGGAATAGAAGCCTGCACACCAGCTGCTTAAATACTCCAGCTTGATTAAAGTAGTTTGCAGTGCAGTTCTATACATGTGTACTGAGAAGTAAGTTTTTATTGTTTTCAATGGAGCTTACTTCCATGAAAGGGTTTATAACATTGAAACCTTAACTTTCTCTATAGGATTTGAGTTCAGGCAATGCAGTTCACATACAAGGGGGAAAGCCCTGTTGCACTCAGTGGGACTTACTGCGGAGTAAGCATGGCTAGGATTGGGCTGTAAATGTCTTAAGAGTAAAATAATACCCTCACATTTTAAATTATCTGTGCGCTCCTCAGTGTGCAAATAGTAAGAGCAATCAAGACTTTGCCAGGGTGAGATATGAGAAAAGCAAAACCTGATAAAGTTTCACGTCAGTGTATCATGTGAAAAGCCCCACATAAGCCAAGAAAGCAAAGAATTCACCAACAAAATGAGAATGACTTTTACTGCGAGGACTTAATATGAGCCAGCTTTTTGCCATTCCTTTTGCTGTTAATACATATGAGCTTGTGTTTTGGAAATCACATTTAAACCCTCAAGTATCATTATGATTCTGTTTTCCCCAAGCTAAAGCAGGAATTATAAATATATTTCAGATTTAGACTTGTCTGAACTTGGTTAAGTGATATATATATGTGTGTGTGTGTGATTGCATCCAGACCTCTTAAACCTACAATTTAGCTTGCTGCTTATGGTCAAATAAATCCATTCTTTCTTAGAAATAAAACCTAAATTAGGTTCCATTCCTATGCATGCTTTACTTTGGAGTATGTCACATTGAACTCAGGTAGGACTTATTTTCCAAGTGAACATGGGCAGTCTCTTGACCATATGCAGATATGGGATGGGGGTTATTGGTGTAGGAAATTGTAGAGTGTGATTGGAAAGAACCCTGAGATTATGACCACAGTCAATCTAAAACAAATGTCACTGAGAAATAGCATAGTATAGAGTAGTTAACATGGTGGCCTCCAAAAATTGTTGGATTACAACTCATGATCATTGGTCATGCTGGCTGGACCTGATGGGAGTTGTAGTCTGACAACATTTGTAGTGTGCCGTGTTGGCTACCCCTGGAAAAGTGTAAGGCCTTCACGCCTGATCATTTGACTTTGGGGTGAGGGGGCTGCAGTGTAAGTGTGTTGAGGGTGAATCAGTGAGCAGAACTAACTAATAGAGACAAACTTCATACTCTGGGAATCACTACTTTGTCAGAACATTTAAAAAAGATGAAACAGACATTTAAGAAATAACTTGCACTGACAGTCACATATATTGCAATGCAAACAGTTTTTGAGATTTAGCCCTTGGGTTTGTGTGCTTATGAAATCTGTACTTGTAGCAGAAGTTCTTTTCCTGATGTTTGTGCCACAAATGCAGAATTTGGGGAGCTTGAAATCAGATGTCACAGCAGAAACTGGTTTCTTTCAACCTTGTTTGTGATCATTGGTAAGCATTTAAAATGAATTTTGTGCCGAAAGTGTTGCTGACTGGGACAAGTCTCGGGCTGTTTCTCTACTTTGCCTTCCAACCAGGAGCAAGAAAAATGAGCTGCTTGTTTTGTCATAATATCTGCAGCAATATATTAAGAAACTGTCTTTGTTAGTGGCAATTAGATCCTCAAGAAATCCAGCCAAAGCCTTTTCATTCTCAGTCAGATAGTTCTGTAATGCACTAACTTGAAGGATAGCTCAGGAAGTTATATTACATAGACATTGTTTATGAGTACTTCAGATTACTTTATTGAGTCTCCAAGTCCAGCAGGAATGTGTCTCTCCAGATGTTGTCGGAACAAACACCCATCAGCTCCAGCCAGCATGGCCAATGGGTGATGGGACTTGGAGTCCAACAAAATCTGAAGGGCCACAGGTTCCCTGTTCCTTGATCTAGTCTAAACTAGAATCACTAGAAACAGTTTTAAGTCCCTTCATAGTTATCCCAGAAAATTGTCCCTTCAGCAGAAGACTGCAAAGCGTTACTAAGGTTAAAAGTTCTAGATAAATTTATTTACTAATTTATGTGCAATGATACATTTATATTCCACACATGGTTTTCTTCCTCCCCATTTTGTCCTCACAACAACCCTGTGAGGGAGGTTAGGATGAGAGACTGCGACTAGCCGAGTGTTATCCAGTGACTTTCATGGCTGACTAGGGATTTGAACCCTTGGCTCCCAGGGCCTAGTCCAGCACCCTAAACCACTGCGGGTAGGTTGCCACCTTGCAAATGGGACACCAGATGCATCCACATAACTACCCCAGTGCTGAAGAAGGTGGAACTGCCATGGATCTTCTTTCCCTCCTCAGTTCGCAGTCTCCTCCCCTCCTGCCTTCCTCACCACATGTCTGGAGACTGAAGCAGCAGGTGAACAAGGGGCGGGCAACTGTACTGGGCAAAGCTCAAGTAGGAAAATCCACAGAATTTGGATTTAAAGGTATGCACCCCATGTCTGGGTTGCAAGACTGACTCAGGGTGGTTTGTGGGAGTGGAACTCTGCTTGCTAAATGGAACATTCCCTTCCTGTCCTCTCTATGTGTCCCCTAACCCTCCACAGCAGATTTAGAGGGTCATGAAGAGAAAGGGGAGGTTCTGCTCCTTGAGAAGAAGCCCATTTTGCTTATGCATGGATACAATTGGCTATAACCCAGAAGTGGAATAAAACTATTCCTTCCTGCTCCTGGCTGGCTAGGGTTTGCTCCACCACCCAAACACCATTTTCTGCAGCCTAAATCATGTTGCTTCCCCTGCTACAGGATAGGGCTTTGGTGAGTTGCACGTTGGCAGGCCTGCTTGGGAGAAAAGACACTGGAGTGTGTATGAAGCTTTGTGGCCAATCTTTAGCACAGGTTTCACCTGGTGAAAGCTATTGATTTGCCAGTTGAAATATTTGCCCCCTGCACTGTCTGCCCCACACATGGGACATTCCACTAAGTAAGCTACAGCCTACTAATGCTTTTTCGGCTAGCTGGCACAGTTGGATTTTTGAGAAAGTGCCCTGAGAGCTATTCACAAAACGGATGTGTTGGGGGGTGTGCCACATATCTAAGAGAGGACCACAAAATAGTGCTGAGATACCTCCCACCAGTCACCCTATTATGGGTGGGCGCTGCTATGCTATCTCACAGAGAGAAGCTCTTTGCACCTCTTCTCTGTTTAGAACAGATGGCATAGTGGGCTTCCAATACTAGCATACAATCCGGACAAGTTTAAAGGGATGTGTACACTGCAGGAGAGGCTGAGCCAGATAGTGAGCAGGAAGAGAAAACAGTGAATCACGTATTGTGGATTTTTACTGAGACCTTTTGGGGATGCCATGGAGGGTGCTGGTGGGCACACTGGTGCCTGTGGGGACACCACTTGGCAAAGGTGAAACTGTTGATGTGCCTGTAAGTGGCATGTGGTTCTGTTTGATCAAAAGCTGCTAGCAATTCTTATAAAGCACAGTAACTGGCAGAGAGCAAGGATTCTGCATGTTGCAATACACAGCCTACTTTAGGCTTGCCTCTCAGTGTCTCTTGCAATTCTCACAGAGCTATGGTGATGTTAGCAATGTCACACATAAGCCTAAATAAACAATGCAGAAATTCCTTAGTGATACATCCTTCTAGCATCAGGAAGACTAAATACAGAGGACACAAATGGTGGTTAAAACAAAAAATACTTACGATGATTCACATAGTAAACACACAAGAGTGCCTACCATCTGCATTGCAAGAACCCACAGAAAACTATTTTCTTCTTAAACCTCAAGAAAGGAAAAAGTCAGATGAAAAAGAATTTAGGTTAACTCTGTGTGTGTTTTTGGCCGCTTCCTCCCCACCCCCAAGGATGTTCGCAAATACCTTTCACATAAGCAGGTTCTGCTGTTGCATAGTTAGAGCATGTATGGTCTTCATTTTCTTAGTTGGATTAAGATGTGCTGCTAAAAGCCATAATTCATTATGCACTTCCTGTTCACAGAGTGTGGGAACTTTAAAAAGCACCCCTAATAATGGAGACTTGCTTGCCCTAACAGTCCCTTAAAATAAGTTTAAACAGGTAGTACTGTCTATTAAAAATGTTATGCTTTTTGAGAAGTGTGCGTGTGCGTACACACACACACACACACACACACACACTGCATAGTGTGAGTTACACTGACTGGGAAATAAAGGCTTGGATATATCTAATGCCAGTATGATGTATCTGACTTTTAATCTTCCTGCGGAAATGTAGATGGGTCACTTTTAAAACAACGCAGACGTGCTGCTCGTAGCCCAGCGGTGGGTTCTTGGTAAAACTGAAACATGCCATCTTTTAAAAAATATTGTTTACTGTCTGCCCTTTGCTACTGAAGAACAAATAGTCCTGTATCACAGACAGCTCTGAAGGCATTTTGCCAAGTTGCATGTGACCAAGAATTAATAATAATTCTTATGAGCCGTCTTTTGTCTGTCAAATTTAATTTGAGCAGAGCAGTCCGCATCAGAGCTGACTTTCAAATATACCACCACAGACGCATGCACACGCACAGAGCCTCAAATGACCTGAGGATGCGCTGAGAGTTTAATTTTATATGCATCTCTTTTATCAACTTAAAATATGTGTCTTCTGTGCTCAAAGTGGCTACTCAGGGATGCTTACATGCAGAAGTGAGACAAAGTGAATAGCTAAGAAAAAGTACAGTAGGTTCCTGTTTTTTTGTGAGGCTCTCATTCTGTATGGACTTCATTTGTTCTCCCAGGGGAGCAGCATGGAATGAAGTCTGCACTGATGGGACTGAATATGGATTGGTACCACATTTTCCTCCCCATTTCAGAACTAAGGTGTGGAAGGACAGCTTGTTCAAAGGGTTGATTTCAGTAAACATCTCCCTATTCGTTATGGCTTAAAGTGTCCTTTAATTATTCATTTCCTGATTGCAGTCCACAGTTGGCAATGGTCTCTCCCACCTCATGTGTTTTCCAGTGGCTCCTTCTCCTGGTTACCAACTCTTTAATTCATTTCCTGAACTGAGTTAAATAAAGGGCCACTACCTGGGAGAACCAAGAATTGATTCAAAACACCCCAAATGGAGAGACCTTTGTGGCCTGCGATCCTAAACACAATTTCTAAGTAGTAAGTCCTGAATAGAAATTACTTTTGATTAAATAGGATCTTGTCTGTGAGAAGGAGCACTGCAGGATTTTTATGGGGAACAGAGTGTCATATTGTGGTGTGTGTGCCACAGTTTTAATTCGACTTTCAACTGATTGCTGAAGACCATCACCTTAGAAACATGCAAGAGCCCTTGGACTCAGTTACACAGCTGCAAATAAAATGTTTTAAGTGCAATATATAATGGGGCACTTCAATGTATTTTTTTTAAAAAGGCTTTAAAAAAGCATTTTTATATGTGTGTCGATTTCACCTTTGTGTGGAAAAAATTCTGAAACAGAGGCTGGAGATGCAGCAGCCATAAGTAACCCCACAGTCCTCCCCACCCCGATCAGGGAAACACAGCAAGGCCTGTATCTGTCACCAGTTGGAGCAGGGGTAGGCAACCTAAGGCCTGGGGGCCAGATGCGGCCCAGTTGCCTTCTCAATCCGGCCCGCGAACAGCCCGGGAATCAGCGTGTTTTTACATGAGTAGAATGTGTCCTTTTATTTAAAATGCATCTCTGGGTTATTTGTGGGGCATAGGAATTCGTTCATTTTTTTTTCCCTGAGGGACGGTGAACCAGCCCATGCCTGAAAAAGGTTGCTGAGTTGGAGGGTTCTTGTGCTCTGTTAGTCAGTCAGACAGTCTTAACAGTCTCTCTCTCTCTCTTTCACTTTTCTAACATGTAGATGGGAGCTGCTTTCCTGTTCTGTTATCCCACACTGCTGATAATTTGTGTGTGAAAACAAGGACTATAAGGGTGACCTAGTTGCCTGTGCCTTTGCCACTGTGGCTCTTGATTGGGTAGAAAGGACATATGTGATTGTCCCCACCTATGTACTTCCGGTATTCATGGATCTCCCGCAGTAATTTTTGTTGGTTTAGCTTAGTTTATTTAATAACTTGCTTTTTAAGTCCCAAGGGACTCTCCCAGTGTGACTTAGAATTGTTAAAACAACAAGAAAACAGTAAATAGTGATAAAACAATCTAGTGGCAAATCTGATTGGGATGGCATTTGATCTACTGGAGGTGCCCATTAAGATGAGGGAGAGCAATTTTCACTTAGTTGTCCTCCTATTGCAGACCTCTGTGGAAAATCCATTGTTCGGCCTGGGGAACCCTCCAGAATAGTGTGAAAGGTGACGTGGGGGTAGGGCTGTAGCAGGAAGAGGGGGACATAGAAAATCACCCCCTTCCTCTTTGCTTAGCAGCCAGGAACATAGGAAGCTGCCTTATACTGAGTCAAATCATTGGTCCACCTACCTCAGTACTGTCTACCCTGACTGGCAACAGCACCCCAGGCTTTTAGGGAGGGTTCTCTCCCAGCCCTTCCTGGAGATGCCAGGGATTGGACCTGGGACATTCTGCATGCAAGGCAGATGTTCTGCCACTGAACTATGGCCCTTCCCTCCATTGGACACCGCCACTGGATCAAAATCTGCATGGAATTACGTAGTGGATTTCAACCAATAAATTAAGCCATTTGAGTAGCCAGAAATCTCAGTATAAAAACCAAATAAAATACCAAGGCTGCAATCCTTTAGCAATTATTTGAACATCATTGAATTCTGAAGGACTTACTTCTGAATAGACATGCAGAAGATAGGTTGTACAGTGTCTAAAAGTAAGCTCCTCTCCTAGCACCCAAAAGAAATCAAAGTTAGTACCAGGAGAGATTTGCACTGTTGGTACACCACAACTGAAAAGGCCCTATTTATGGTCACCCCTCTTCTCTAAAAGTAAGGGCACCCAGAAAGCAGCCTCTGATCTTAATACATGTAGGAGAAGCCCATCTCTACGGTACCCAGATTACACCATGGGGAATTGGCTGTCATTACAGGGTGGGATTCAACTAACAAGTTCCACCAGCGGAAGCCTATACAAGGACTTCTGCTAGTGCTATGGGGCTTCCCCTCCTCTGCTTCGCTTACTACCCCACTGGGATACCGTACCTCCCAGAACAGTGCACTAGGGAGCAGTGTAGAAGAGTGGGCAGATCATTATTCCATTAGGCAAGCAGATATGCTTACACTGATGGAGCGATCCTACGTTGAATTCCTCCTGCAGCTTGGTGTGACCAAATGGGCCTCCCTCTTTCCCCCTCCATCTTCCTCTCTCTGTCTTCTGCTTGGAAAGAAACCTGCAGCCGTAGCACCCTGCTGTAGACAGTGCTCACACAAAGCAATGTGTTTCTTCAAGCGAAGTGGTTCTGAGATAATAAATTAATAATGATTTCACACTACAGGATTTGTGTGTGCTGCGTGTGCCTCTCCAAACAAGGATAAGCTCCTTGCTGAACACAGGTTCTGAGCATGTACAGTTTGAATAGCCGGGCTCAGGCATGCTGACCGTGAAGTTTTTATGAGGTTTGGAGTGTTGTGTTACATAAATGCTTAAATGCATTCTTGGATGGAATGAATAAAGTTCTCCTGACGTCGGGAACATTTTGTGTTTATAGCCTGATTTGTGGAGTTTAGTTAGCTCCAGTATCTCCCCCAAAGTGGCTGGATCAGACCTTGGTGGTTGGTTGGTTGTTTTTGCTGAAAAGTATTTATTAAGATTAACTCTCTACACAAGTTGGTTTCCAGGAGCACAGTAGCAGCAGTGGAGGAATGGAGCGAAACCGAGCAGCATAGACTCACACACGTTAATGTTCTCATTAAACCATAGTTTGTTTTTAACTGTTGTTTAATGGGGCATGCAAGAGGTGCCAATAACTGTGGGTTAGTCCAGCCCATCTCTCATTCTGAATATTCTCAGTTAGAACATGTTGAAATATGGGGAAATTTGAGCCTTGATTCCAAAAGTAGGCCCAGGATGTTGTGGTACTTGTAAGGCTTATGCTGTTATCCACTGCTCAGATTGCTTGAAGTGTTCTCGGTCTGAACACTCTCAAATGTGGAAGCAAGTCGGCAAGTGAATAAGTAAATGGATTCACTTCGCAAACTCTGTTGTAAACTGCAGGCCTTTTATCCTATCTATCCCAAAAGTGAGACAGCAGCATGTTTTACTGCTAGCTTGATTAAAAATTAAGTGTTATCACAGGCTGAAGTGCACGTAAAACACTTGTAGGTCTGCTCAGACTGCTGCTGACAGCCTCTGGTCTCCTAACATCTTCTCAATTGAGAGTTGGTAAAATACTTGCATTTTGCCTAAGCCTTCAAGGGAGGCGGGGGGGGGGGGAGAGATATCTGCTGTAAATGGCCAATAACAAAACAAACAAACAAACAAAAAACAGTGAAATGCTTGGTTTGCATTTCAACAGTATAAGCAAGAATCCAGTTGTCTAGTGCCTTGGTAACAGTTTTAAAACATGGCAAATATATTAGTTAATCATATATTAGTCAATCCTATAGGTATTGCATCTTAATGCAGCTAATGTTTTCTGCACCAGTGCAACAGATACACAGGTGCTTAAGGTGTTATAAGGGCTTTGTTCACCAAAAAAGTTCAATTACTACAGTGGCATGTACATGGTACTATTATTATTATTATTGTATCCCACCTGTTCTCCCAGGAGCATAGTTCTGTTCCCCACACCATTTTAATCTCCACAACAACCATGTGAGTAGGTTAGGCTGAAAGCTAGACTTCATTCAGATGCTCGTATCTCAGTTGATTAATCCAAGATATTCATCATATTTGAATTTCTCCTTCCCTCCTCTCTTCTTTTCATGCTTCAGCTGAAGAATTTCAGGGTTAATTAACCATAGTTTTGTCTGATGTCTAAACTGGGAATACCAGGATTAGAACAAAGGGTGCTTCCAGACGGGTGTTTATTGTGGTGTTGGTTCTCCTCATGCATGTAAGGGCTTTGTGTGTGTGTGTGTGTGTGTGTGTGTGTGTGTGTGTGAAGTCCACATGATGTCATCGACATCAAAATGCCAGTCCATATTTCCCTCCCATTTAATCTTGATTTACCTTTTCCGGGGGAAATCCAATAAGTAAAAAAAGCTGTTCATAATGACTTGTTTGCAAATTAAGCCCCCATCTGGAAACATCCAAAGTAGCATTGTAAACCACAGCTTGAAGTTAGTTTAAGAACCTGGTTTGCTCTGGGCCTGGCAACAATAATTTCCCAGTATGGATGTAACAAGAAACTATAATTAATTAGCTCAGGGAGACTTCAGTTGTGGCACATAAGAAGGGAAGAGGGAAGTGGTAGCTTGGGGAGAGAATGAGTAGCGAGCAGAAGACATGTGCACAACTCAGCGTCGGAGAGCAAAATGTCATTGCAATATGAAGAACTAAGAGTAAGGAAATCTTTTTTTCTTTTTCTTTTGCCATACTGATGAAAGCAAAAACTTTTAAACTAATAAATGGCAGCTGCAACAAACTCTTGTAGTGTGGAGTGTTCCTATTCAGAGTGCAAGCCAGCCAAGCCCATGGAGAACTGAGCTTGCTATTAATGTGTGTAAACACGCGCGCACATACACATGTATGTGCTGAAGGTAACTCATTGTAACAGCAGAGCTGAAGCTGCACATGGATAATGCCAACCAAATTGGCTTTAAGTCTTCACACAGAATGGTATCAATTATCTGGGTGTTGTTTCACTTAGAGGAAAAAGAATTTCTTTAGAGAAAAATCTGGTCAGGGCTAGGAATATTGACACAATTGATGCCAAGGGTTACTTCCTTTGTGGGCCTGGGATGGCCTTCCAAGCGAGAGAAAAACCTAAGGATGGGCAGATAATTGCAGGTTTTCGTTTTCATTTTAGCAACTAAAAACCCTAAAGTCATTCCTCCACACATAATGAGCCACCACAGTCTTCTTCTGCATCATCACAGTGGTTGTAGCGTTTTAACTTTTGCTGTGTTGAGCAGCCAAGCTGGCAGACTGCATCAATGAAGAGATTTTATTTCATCCCTTTTCCTTGCCATGGCTTATGTAATTCCTTTCCATGGCAACTCCTTCCAGAGGTGCACCAGCTTTCTGGCTGGTACCTCCTACTACCGTGGGAATGGTTCGACCTGTTTGCTAGCCATTAGGAATTCAACCTAGGATTGGGGCAGGAGAATACTCAATTCTTGTGTTTTGGCCCCAAAGGGAGCATCACTGGAGCACTGGGAGTTTGTCTCTCCACACAACTGGCAGTGTTAAAATGTCAGCTGTGTGCTAAGTAGGTTAGGAATGAACACCTGCTACTATAGTCATACGTTGTTGCATTCCAGCTCCCATCAGCCCCAGCCAGTGTGTGTAATGGTCAAGGGCGATGGGAGTTGTCCAGCAACATTTGGAGGGCCTAGGTTAGCCACCCTCGAGTTACAGGATTAAGCTGACACTTGTTAAAAATCATAGCGAGGCAGCATATAGATCTTCAAGAAAATGTAGAGCTACGCAATCATCCTCCGCAGATGGAATAACAAGTATATTGCCAGATGCAACTGAAGAGTCCTGCTAGTGGAAGCCTGTGCAAGGACTTCTGGGAGCGTAACGGGGCTTTACCCCTCTCCCCTGCTCTGTGCCCCCCATATTTGCTTGGGGGGCATTGGGAAAACCCCCATAACAGTGCATCAGGGGGAGAGGAGGGGTCATTCAATCTAGCAACCTAGCTGAAATATTTGCACTGATCCAACGATTGCCATAGCACTATGCTGAATTCCTCACAGAGAGTCACAGCTGAAGGAAGATGGATCGCCCTACAAAAGAGATTCAGGATGACCTTCAGGAGTGTAGGGAAGTTGGGTTGCAACCTGGAGATTCCCTGCTGGCTTTACATTTGCTGCAGAATTTTGAGATGAGGCAGCTTTGCTTATTTCTGCCTCTTTCTTCCTTTTATTTATCACCGTCTGAGCAGCAACATCTAGAATCCTGGTTCCTACAAGAAGGAAGGGAGAGGGAAACAAACAGAAGATGTGACTACAGCTCCTGGGCAATGACAGCAAAAATAATGCTTGCTTTCTTAATTACAGTGGTACCTCGAGTTATGAACTTAATTAGTTCCGGAGGTCTGTTCTTAACCTGAAACTGTTCTTAACCTGAGGCACGCTTTCGCTAATGGGGTCTCCCGCTGCCACCATGCGATTTCCGTTCTTATCCTGGGGCAAAGTTCGCAGCCCGAGGTACTACTTCCGGGTTAGCAGAGTTTGTAACCCGAAGCGTTTGTAACCCAAGGTACCACTGTAATTTTGTTGGAGGTGGTATTACCGAGATTAGTGAGCAGTGTTGATACCACTGGTTTCACTGCACATGCCAAGCATAAATTTCCTTCAAGGAATTAAGTCTTTTGTCAACCCTTTATGACAGAAACTGTGCCCCTTTGGATGTTGTTGGACTACAAGTTTCATCATCCCTGACTGTTTTCCATGCTTGCTGAGGATTATGGGAGTTGTATTCTGTCAACATCTGAGGCGCCTTAGGTTCTCTGTGTGGGGAATCGCCAGAATATATTTGCTTCCAGACAGGATTGCCATTTTCCTTAAAAAGCATATGTGTATTTATTATTACATTTATATCCCACCTGCAAGAAGCTCAAGGTAGCGTACATGGTTCTCTCTTTCCTCAGTTTATCCTCTCAACAGCCTTGTGAGGTAGGTTAGGCTGACTGAAGGTAACTGGCCCAGGTCAATAATGTGACTCGACTTTATTTTAGTAATATCTGGTTTCTATGCTCTCTTGTGGCAGGATATAAAACATTCCACAGTTGGTGTGGAGGTGGTGATGTATTTTGAAATATTTTGTTTCCCAAACCACTGATTCACTTGCAAAGAAAATATAGATATGCTTAAATATATTTTTCAATCCCGAGTGATGGAAGATAGGCCCACCATGCAAGTTTCAGGAAATAGCTATTATATGATGGGGAAGGCTGGAACAAAAGATATTCTGACACACAGTGCCAAGCCCTTAAGAATAATGGTTGAAAGCAGAACGCTTAATATGGCTTAATGGCACAAATATGTTGAAACACCAATGTAATAAAAACAGTGCAAGTGGGATTTGAAAAGCAAATGGGAAAATATTAACATGAGAATGCATCTGGAAGGATGGGTGGGAGTTTAAAAGTGTCCTCATGTTCTCCTGGCAAACGCAGTGGTGGTTCTGGTTCTTATTAGAACAATTTAGAAGTCAACAAACTGCTGACCTTAATTAAGAATCTTTTCATAATCTATCATCCTCTTCCTACAGCAGTTCCTTGCTAAATAATCTTAGGAACTTGTTTTGAGCTGGGAAAATGTGTGTCTTGAATGCTCAGCTTGTCTGGAACAAAGTAGGGTGTTTTTTAACCATCTTTAAAACGATAGCTATGAGTAATAGGAACCCTGAAAATTATGGGTTATGACTGAATAATAAAATAAAAGAAATAATAGGCAGTACTTGGGTAATGATATTCTGTAACTATAGAAGCAAAAGTATATTTCTAGAGTAGGTTTGCATTTTTTTATCAGTCCATCTCCATGCAGAAGATTACTTTCTTTAATCCCTGCCTGATACACAGGATAAAAGCAGGGATACCTGCTTTTGAGTTGTAGGAAGGAACCTGATAAACTGAAAGGAGAACTTTGTGGTGTGTGGAAAGGACCCTTTTAGAGGGAGGAGGACAGAAACCAGCCAACAAGATGCTGTGGAATAATTCATAGAATCATAGAATCATAGAGTTGGAAGAGACCACAAGGGCCATCGAGTCCAACCCCCTGCCAAGCAGGAAATTCAAGCAGAAATATTCCTGAGATGGCCAAAATCATGATCAGATGTAGGAAGGATCATGTCCGCTGACGTGCTAGGATTAAAACCACAAGTTCACTGCTAGTATATTCATAGCCTTGCAGCAATTTCCCAATCACAATTCTGGCTCAGGATATAGAACAGTGGTTAATACACAGCTCATTTGATTTTTTTTATTGTTAATTTTATTTTCTACATTTTACTTTTTGTTTGTAAACATCTCTGGAATCTCATATACCCACTCTGGGGTGTTCATTTTGAACCTTTGGTATCTTTTATGCCACTCTGTCTGAAAGAAAAGCCTTTGCAGAATTACTGGAATGGTAGCTGGGAAAATAAAACCATCCCACTCGGTTGGGCAGAAGGCTGCTCTTCAAGCTTTGCCAGCCGCCTTCTGCTGAAGATGATTGGATTGGGTTCAGTACCGTTCAAGGAAGCTGTGTGATATTTTATGTTTCCTTTCTTACGGGAATAAGGGCTACTGGATATGAGTCCACAGTGTTGTGAAGCAACATTTTCAGTAGCTGTGGCAGTTCAGTTGCCTGGGAGACACTTAATTCATGTGAATTTGGGGCGATGGCTCAACCCTGCTCTCTCCAGAGTACAATGAATGAACAATTGACTTGTCTCCTAAATATTTGCCCAGAAAATATTGACCCTTAGTTGGTGTATTGCTGACTCAAATCGGCCCTCCACCTACGTATTATCCAATGGGCTAATGAAAGGAGGGTCTTGATTTACACATAGTAAAGCCCTTGCTTTAAAAGCTGTTGATGCATTTTAAATTATAATTTAAAATAGTAAAATTTTGAACTGTAACAAAACAGTTGGAGAGAAAGAAGTAGTTGTTGTTCCTGTCACCACTGCTGTCCTACAGCAATCCATTGTTATTACCTTTTAAAAACAACAGTGTGTCTTTTACCCCCAATAGCTACTGCATGGGAGATTGATACTTCCAGAACAGACAATGAAGTAACACTTTGAAAAGATGTCCAAAGCTGCTGAGGAGCATGGGTTTGTGTAGGACAGAAGCTTCTGCTTCATTCTCATCCTCCTTCCATTGCTGACCCATGGTATGGTTATTGAACATGAGGCTTCCACCTTGCTGAAGCTAAGCAAGTCTAGGTCTTGCCTGTGCCAGAGACATCCAGGGAACCCTCAGTTTTGTGCCCCCTCAGTGGTTCTATGATGAAAGGACGGTGGGATATAATTGTAAGATCTCTCCTCTCCTCCCCTCCCCCCATCCCAAACCTTCTTTGGCTACTGTTTGTTCCAACCAGTGGTTTGATGGGTTTTGAGGTTTTCTAACCAGTGGAAGAGCTCTAAGATGTGAACGGAGGTAGAGAGATGTGGCAAAGCTTAAATGATTGATCATGAAATTCATGCTGATTTACACTGTCCGGTGTCAACCATCCCTTAATTCATTTTTAACTGCTGATCCATTTTCTTTACCTGTTTAGAGAATAACGTAGAGGTTTTGTGAGTTGAAGTGAAGCCAACAATGATAATAATGACTTCCCTGACTTTCAACTCTTTTATCATCGGATAATAATTATTATTATATTTATTTGTTTGTTTGATATATATATACCTCCCTTCATCATAAGATCTCAGGGTGATTTACAGAATAAAATACAGGATAAAAACAAGTAAATAATTAAAAATAAAACAGCAAAATAATAACTCCCGCTTCCCACAGACACATTAAAAAAGCTGTAGAGTATTAATCAGCCCAGCTGAAGAGGAATGTTGAAAAGGCCTGGTTGAAGAGGAATGTTTTTGCCTGGTGCCTAAAAACATACAATGAAGGTGCCCGGTGAACCTCCCTGGGGAACGATTATATAAATAATAGGAGGATATTTTATGGGTGTGCTTCATACTCATAAAGGAACATTGTGAGGTGTTCCCAGCCATACACAGCTGGACAGTGCTCCACACTCCAGTATGGAAACCTCGTGTGTTGAATCTAGTGTTGCATATGCAGAGTTCCATTCATGCAACGGGACTTTCCCCTGCCTCTCCTCTCCCTGCTCGCCCTCAAAATCTGCTCCAGAGTGGAGATGAGTAGAAAGTTCCATTGCACAAATGGACATCTGCTGAATAGTAGTGTTGGACAGGACCCACTTGTAGAGAAGGGTGGATACATCAGCATAACAACTGGGAGATAAGAACCTTGGAATCTGGAGCTATTGGCAGCTCTTGGCCACTGGGGAAGGCTGGGCTGATGTCCACTTTTTTCCTGGAGTAACAAGGGAGCTGGCAGTTCATCTGAAAATCAAGTGAAGAGAGAGCTTTTTCTTTTTTTTCTTTTTAAAAGCATAAATTAATACAATATTTAGATTCAGATGAAATCTGACATCTTTGATATGTGTATTGTTAACAGCAGGAGATAATGAGTGGGATGAAATTGATTTTCAACTTTTTGAATTGTTCAGTAACATATGATGGGTGAAAAAAAGTAATTCATTTGTTTGGGAAGGTTATATCCTCCAAATTATGCCACTTTTAAATTTTTATTAAGACCAGTATTGGATTTGGGAGAGCAACAGTGTTCTAAATGACTGGCAGTCGTTAATATAATTACTCTTGCAGAAGGATGGAGTGGTGAAGCAATTCAAACCTGTTTTTGTATCAGGGTTGGCTCACATGCTTCTAACATTCCTGTTTGTAGAAAGGCATACTAAATTAAAAAACACACACACACACACACACACACACACACGAAAAAGCCCACATTTTACTCAAATATGCTTCACATTAAATGGCTAATGCAGCATGTTTATGGGTAAAGCTTCCTCCAAAGGAGCTAAGCTCTGAACTCACATGATTGGTGTTTATGTTAAGTAGGCATTCCATGCCATTGTAGTCTGTGTTTATGTTTCTATCTGAAATCACTGCATTCCACTGCTGTTGCCTCCTCCCAAAAAACTGCCTGTTATACCAATGGCTTTGCTTGGCTGCATGTGTTGAATATATCACAAAGAAAAAAAGTTTGCTACCATACTTGCTCAGGACACAAGTCTCTAAACACATTTGCACTCTACTTCTCCATGTGTTGGGGAATAAGCCCTTATGCAACACAAAAATGAAGTGGACATTTTGCTCGAATGGTGTGTGAGGGAGAAAGCTCTTCCTAAGGTGACCCTTCTCCCTGCCTTTGGAAGCCTTATGCAAATCTGCTGCAGGCGATGGACTGTGGGTAGAAAGGTAAAGGCAAAGGACCCCTGGATGGTTAAGTCCAGTCAAACTTGACTGTGGGGTACTGCACTCATCTGGGTCATGTGGCCAGCATGACTAAACCGCTTCTGGCGCAATCGGACACCATGGCAAGTGCCAAAGTGCACGGAAACACTGTTTACTTTGAGTAGCCTCAAGGGAGGAGTGTTTCCAGCTACCCCAGCCCCTGTCTTTGGAAGCCTCAGTGGTGCCTGAACTGCTGCTACCAAAGGCGCAGTGATCCTTTGGGGAAACTGAGGGAAGCCTTGACATTTGGTCATACTGATTTGATGCTTGGCTAATTTGCAGTAGACATCCAAGCAGTGGCTAGAATATCTAGGACTGTGGCAAAATGGTTCATAATCCCTTGTTATTTTTTTGTACTGCAAAGATGTGTAATGCTGCTACATTTATAGTATACAAGTGTTGTTTTTTTGTATGCTGTTGCATTTGCCATTATGTTGCTGTTAGGAAATGGTTCTTGCAAATGCTGATTTGTGGCGTATTGCTGTTGTCCTTGTTGCAAGACACTTTGAGCATAAGTGTATGCATGGAAAAAGAAAACGAAAATTAAGTGGTGATGAAATGCAGCCTTGGTCCTGTTCCACCCAAGAACAGCCTGATGTCAAGCTGGTGGAGCCTTGTCCTACCCACTAATCAAAATACCAAGGAGCTAGGTGTGGATGATCAGATTTTTTTAGTCTCAGTGGAGGAGTGTCCTCAAAGTCAGGGCTTTTCTAGAAAATACCTATTTTGATGGAAAGAAAACTAAAGCAGCAATCAACGTTCAGTTATGAGACTTTCCCAGAAGGGAGAGAGATTGGGGGGCAGAGGGAAGAAGGGGTTGTTGGCAGGAACATCCAGAGCGGTGAGGCGGTGCCACACCATTGCCCTCCTGACAGCAATGGTGCTGCTGTTTTCCAGCATGAGTAGGGAGGCAGGTCAGCTTGGTGGGAAAGTTGGGGTTGTGCAGGCCGGGTGCACCGGTGGAAGTGCTGGATTGGCTCTGTCACTCTGTGAGCATGCCCTTGACCTCACAGCTGTACAGTCTTGCTCCTGGTTGTGGGGGTGAGTTGGTAACACAACTGTGCCGTCTAAATGCAGCTTGAACAAAAGTGGAGGGAGAAGGAGGATAGTTGCAGTGTCACAGGGAGGACAATGGGGTTGGAGAGGAGAGGCGCCACTGTTACCTACCCTTCCACTCTGTTTTACAAATACATGAAAGGAAAGAAGACTCTGGGGGAAAGGGGACTGGAGAGTATAGAAGTGCAACTCAGGAGCACCAAGAGAACGAAGGGCTGGTGTGTCCAAGCAGTTATAGGCTTGGGCATTGACTACTTTATTAAAGAAGGGGTGGTTCTGGGTGGGTTCCCAAGCAAAGGGAAGTGATCTTTGGCTTGATTTACAAGGGAGGATGGGGGCTGGAGGTAACTGGCTTTTCTACAGTGAGCTTAGCACTTCCTGTTGATGAGTTACCAAACTGAAGTGCCTTCTTCCACCAGTTGCATTAGCAGTGCATGGAAAATATGGTACATTGGTCTGGCTTCTTGGGTGCCTGATTTGATACCCTTGTTAATGTTCAATGTGCGGCTGGTGATTGGAAGCCACAGTAATGCAAAGTCTTCCAATAGGCAGGGGTACTTTGTCCTTTTCCTGTTGCTAAGCTACCACTGTTAAAAGCCAGAATACATCCTGCTAGCCACACAGCTGAAGAAAAATTTAACTGCTCAGTCTCTCCCAAAGGGAGAGTGTAATGCCTGCTTCCTCATCCCCATCACAGAGGGCTACATTACTGCATCATTCATGAACCCTGAAGTACATTTCTATCTCCCCCCCCCCCCCGCCGCCAACAGTGCCAACATAAATAAGTCTGGTTTGTTGTTTGGGTTGGAAAAAATCGTACCGAAAGCTGTTATGGCCAGAAGGTCATGTGCCAGTTTTTCATTGCCCATAGCTTAGCAATGACAATGTAGCATTTTGTTTACTTCAAAGTTAAACATTAAACACTCCTTTTTAAAAAAGAAAAAGAAAAGAGTACCATAGATATTTATGATGACAGGATCATTATTTGGATCAGTAACTTGGCTTGGTTTTGGAGTAGGCCAAATTTCTGTGCTCTCGGTAGTGGTTTTGGGTGTGGCCATATCTTTCCCTTTATGTTGGGCCAATTTCAGACAGTTGACAGGTGTCTCTGCTGTTCTTCATCTTGTGTCATATGGCTATTCTCTTAGTTCAGGGGAGGGGAAGGTAAGCTCTCTGTGGTGTCCTAGCAACCAATGACATGCTAAACTATATATAGCTGACAAATGTGCCCTGTGATTACTTGGAAACCACAAAATGCTTGTTCCTCCCTTCTCCACCTTGAAATGGCCAAGATCTAAGTGCCACAATGGTGGTTGTTAGTAGCTGGCGGGAGAAAACCCAGACTACAGAAATGAACTGGTTTTTGGCTTGTTGAATTGGTGGGCTGGCCCTTGGAGGCTTCTGTCTGGAGACCTCTGGAGAATCACAGCACCTGCTGTGGCTGCAGAGATCGGTAACTTGTAACTGCTGCCTCCTGTGCTGTTTTTGCTGCATTGGCAGCACCAAAGTGACCTCTCCAAGGTGCAAGCCAGCGCACTGTGTATGGAGGTCCTGGGGTGCCCAGACGATGCATTGGGCACCAGCTTGGCTGTAGGAGTTGGCTAAAGGAGGCATAAAAGGCTGGACCTTGAGGTTATAAATATTACGTTTTGGCAGGGTATAGCAATAGTTTTTCCAAAGTTCAAGAATTGTTGTTGTTGTTGTTTTACAGTTGAGTTTGAAAAGCTGCATCGAAAGTGGGTTCTTTTTTGGGGGGGGTAGTGTGTGTGTATCAGATTTTACTTTGAATGTACTCTTGTAATACTCCAGTGTCTTTAAAAGTCACATTTGAAGTGGAATTTGGCTGCTGCATGTACTTAACATTAATAGCTACTCATAATGAAGAAAAGCTGCTCATCATAAAGGCTAATGGTCAAGAATGTGTATCATCTGCATGTTGCGTTAGACAAAGTGAACTGAATAAACACATCAGTTGTACTCTGGCTGACTGAATCCACTAGTTCTTCTACATTAGCCCCAGGAATCATTTAAAATCCAGCAGCTGAGCTCATATTGTGCCTGTAGGGGTTTTCCCTTTAAACTGATTGGCTGTAAGCAGTCTCTTTTCTGGTCTGCTTTGCATGGTCCACACTCATCCAAATCAGACCCAAGCCTATTGGGCCTCCTGCCAGGGAGCTTGGAGGAAATGTAGCCAGGCCTGGCTTGGAAGCTGCTTTTGGCTGCACTGCCCCCACAAAGGTTTTTGTTCCTTCCCCATCCCTGTACAAATGCTTCTAACGCCAACTTTTGCTGGTGGGAGGAACACAAAGGGTGTGACTATAGCTGGGCACAATCCACCATTAGCGTGGAACAGTCTACAGTGGTACCTCGGGTTACATATGCTTCAGGTTACATACACTTCAGGTTACAGACTCCGCTAACCCAGAAATATTACCTCAGGTTAAGAACTTTGCTTCAGGATGAGAACAGAAATCGTGCAGCGGCGGCGCAGCAGCGGGAGGCCCCATTATCTAAAGTGGTGCTTCAGGTTAAGAACAGTTTCAGGTTAAGAACGGACCTTTGGAACGAATTAAGTACTTAACCCGAGGTACCACTGTAATCTGCTTTGAGCTTCAGTTTGTTGGCTCTCATCCGTCCATTACTGAGGCAAGACACTGGTCCAGCACCTCCACTGCCACACCTGCAGATGTAAAGGAGAAATAGAGCTGTGTGTCATCAGCATATTGCTGAAAACATACTCCAAACCCCTCTGGATGACCCCACTCAGCGGTTTCATGTAGATGTCAAACAGTATAGGTAATGTGAACGTCAGTTTGCCTAATAGGTAATTATTTCAGTATAAACCTACTGAGGTGAGGAAAGAGCTTCTAGTTATTTACAGAACTTCTTTCACTTGGAACTATTCTATTGAAGTCAATTATGAGGATTGGCTGTTGTATTGGGAATGTTCTATTAATAAATAAGCTCTTGATTGTTTTAGTTAAAAATGATCAAGATTAAACCTTAGTTGAAGTTTATGGAATTCAGAACTATAGGGAGGGAGGTTGCTAGCAGGTACAATGGAAGAACACAACCAATAGTATATGTTGTAGGGAGTAACAACTGTTGCCGTATTTGCTGAGAGAGAAGCAGGGCCACAGGTCATGCAGGTTATGAATGTATGAGACTCATTTCATAATTGTTTTTTGGAATGCTAAAACAAATGTTAATGTTTCCTGGCTATTCAAAGCTGCTTTTACTGGAAATAGCTGGCATTCTAAATATACAGAAATAGCAAATCTAGCACATAAAGTGTTGATAAATTGTTAAACTCATTATTTACTGTTCCATTTAAAAGGGAAAATTTTCTAACCCATGTAATTATTGAGTAATTTGTGCTTCAGAAGTTTGTTGCATACATTTTATCGCAATAATGTGATAAAGTGAGCTTGAAGAACTGGGCTTGAAGAACTGAGAATGTCATTGAATTCAGTGATGCTTTTTCACTCAGTCTTTGATATAGCAGAAGATTCTGCTAAGAGAAGAGGAAGGGAGTCAGCTGTTTCCCTCCCCCAATCTGTTCCTTGGGGTAGGGAAGAATCTCCAGAACTGCTCTAGAAGGTGCTGAGAGAAGCTGCAGGGAGAAAGGGGGAAATTGGTGAGAAATCACATTCCCTCTTCTCTTATTAGTGGAGAGCAACACTAGGTCAAAGAATATTCCATGAATTGAAGGGCACCACTGGATACAGCCCCAAGTGTCTTTCTTAGTAAGAAAATTTCCTTTGAACCATCTGTTTGGAAGCTGATGCCACTATCTTCTCATGTTGTCCCCTGCAACTGTGATGTAAAATGAGGATTCAAAACTCAGGTAAATGGAAATTATATGGTCTGAAGTCCATTGTTACATGGTGTAACATCCTTTAACTGCAGAATATCCCTTCTCAACATGTTCCCTTCTTGCTTCATAACTGCTTCTTCACCTTCTTTTAAAGATGACAGCTTACTGATGGCCACCTGTGCATATTTTCCTTAGCAAATACTGGTAAAACTTATTACCATGTGTTTGAAGGATACAGCATTTGAGCAGTAATATCTCAGTAATATCTCTTCTTTCATATACTGAATTAAATACATGATAATACTTTGAAAATGATCTTCTGCTCAGCACACATTTTGTTGAACAACTTGACTAACTTGCACTTCCTCACTGCTTTCTAAAATTCTGCACGTATCTCTAACATTGCTCCTTCTACTTACTATTACTATGGGTTGTTTGTAACTTTCATTGTGCTTTTGAAATGCCTTCTCTATTCAATGTGCACCATATATTTATGTTAACATTTTGGTATCATTTTTGGCATCTATAGCTAGCAGTGTTTTTACAGCTGCTTTAGTGATAATTGTGTTTTGGTTTAACTTTCTTCTCATTAACAACAATCTGTTTCCCCACAACTGTAATAGTGAAGGGAAACATCAACAATGTAGGCATATATCGGTATGTACTCTTTTGTTGTAACTTGTTCCTGCATCACTGCTAATGGAGACACTCAACTTTTTGGCAAGTCAAGGTGTTGATAGTGGTGTACAGAGCCCTAAGTGGCTCAGGGCCTGAGTACCTTCCTCAATACCTCCTGATCCTTGCTCTGAGATCAGTGAGGAAGGCCCTGGCTCATGGTCCCATCAGTGGGCATTGTCCAATGTACTGTGACTGTAAACAGAGACTTCTCAGTAGTAGCTGTGTGGTAATGGTGCTCCCTCCCTGAAGATGAGGGTACTTCCTTTACAACAGACATTCAGTATCTTCTAACATCTGTCTTGTTGCTAGTTTTTCAAAACTCAGTACTGTGATTGTAATAGCATATTTTACATGTTGATAAAAATGCCTTTAATTTTTTCCATTTTCTTGGCCATTACCAAAAAGTCCTCTTTTTCAAAGCTGCAATTATAGTAAAACTGGCTATTTCCACAAACTGTCAGTCCTGTAACATTGAAATTAGGATTTAGCACCCTGGCTTCAATGTATAACATAACGTGGGTCCCACTAATTCACACAAAAGATTACTCTAATCTGTGTTTTCATCTCCCCTTAAATAGCCCAGTAAAAGTTCAGTTAAGTTCCAAGTTGCTGAAAATGTACATTTTGTGTTCTTGAGAGAACTGTAACCAGCAGAGGGCAGTATGAGGCATTCTCTAGTCCAGTGGTTGTCTCAATATGTATGTCTCGAATGTAAGATTAAGGAGGTCCAGCTGGATTGTTGTCAGGTGACATACAGGTCTTCATATTGAGCCCGTTTCTTATGTTAAGATAAAGTCAAGAGGGAAGTGCCAGGTTGACCAGATACCGCCTCTTGACTTGCATTATTTCAACTGAAACATGTGACTCTAATCTGCGGATCTGGCCTGGGCAGAATACCATCTGGGAGCCATATGTGGCTGTTCTTAGCTCTACGAAGGCAAAACTGGTACAAATGTAATAAATAAATAAGGGCATAATTAAAGCAGCTGTGTCCCCATTTGTGGGAATACCCCCCCCCCCCGCAAAAGCTCTCAGAGGGTCTTCTTCCTCTCTTAGAACCACAGATTTGAGGCAGGAAACCAAGTACATATGGTGATACCAAGCAACAGAGAAGTGTTATTAGAACTGCGGGGGGTGGGGGTGGGATATACTTTTTATTGATCTGAAAAAATTACCAAGATCCCATCTGTACTATACATTGAAAGCAGTATCATACCACTTTAAACAGTAATGGCCTCCCCAAAATAATGATGGGAACTGTGGTTTAAGAGCCCTGAGAGGAGTTAGGAGATCCTTTTTCTCCTCACCGAGCTAAAATTCACAGAGTAGTTTAGCAATCCATCCCTCCTCCCAGGGAACTCTTGGAATCGTAGCACTATGAGAATAGGATTCTCCTAACAACTCTTGGTATCCTTCACAGGATTTTGGGGAGTAAGCCATGACTGTTTTAAGTGGGATGTTACTGCTTTAAATGTATAGTGCAGATGGCAGCTGAATATATTTGAAGGCTTAAGGTTCTGGGAAGATCTGGTTGGGGAGGAGGGTGTGATTAGGAGTGAGAGAAGAAGTAAAAGTTAACTGCAGACTGAGGGCAGTAACTAGCTTTTAACTGCAGCAGCAGGCCACAAATAGGAAGTTGTGGCACAGTTAATTGGCAAGTTTGTGGGACCCAGGAAAAGTTCAAACTCTTGGTTGGCCAAGATAATAATTTGTTCAGTGCCAAATTTTTGTATCAAACGTAAGTGTGGGATGATTCTTTCCTTCTTGAGGCTTTTCCTACCTGTGTCCTCTTTTCCCTGTTCTGTACTGGAAAGTGAGTGGTGTGAAGAAAGAGACTTATAGTCCATTCAATTGTGATGAATGAGGAACAATTTACCTCACACCTTGGACTGTTTACCTAACCTATTGAGGTAAAGTGGAGGGTTATGATCTCCCCAAAGAATTTTCTAGATTAGGCTGCAGCTCCTGGAATTCTACTATACCAGATAAGACACCTGCATGGCCTGTTGCAATGGCCATGGTCATACTCAATTTATATATCACATTTTATGTCTGTGCTCAGAGCAGTTCACATAAGAAACAAAAACCATCTAAATACTGTGGTACAGTAACAATACATAGTATAAAAAGTATACCTGAAAACATTACACTAAAAACCCCAACCATTAACAGTTCATTTGGTATGCATCAAAATGTCACCAATCAGGTTCACCAATATAGCAAGTAAAAAGATATTATAACTTCACACTCAAACCCAGTAAAATTAATACATAGTAATCCCCACCCTTATATGCTTCAACCCAAGACAAGAAAATCCCCTCAGAGCTATCACAAAGGCTCCCAGGGGCTAGAGAGCGGTACAAGGTACACAGAAACAACAATTTCCTGATACGCAGGCAATTGTGAAGGAAACAGTAGGAAGCTTTTACGTATTTGTGGACAGCTGATGGTACAAGTCACATAGCTAAAGGGTGTGGGGTAAAACAAAGGTGTGGGAGGGGACAGAGTTAATGGTGGAGGTGGGTATTTCAGTGCAGCTAAGTGCTGCACTTAGACTTCAAATTTCAGAGGGTGGTGATATGTGGCAAGTAACAAAGTTGAAAATATGGAGAAGTGTTTAAGGAGGAGAACAGTTGACTACCAGGCTGGAAAAGGAAGAGGCTGCCAAAATACTGTTTTGTTGCTTTCTCTTAAAGCTCCATGAAACATGAGTACTTTGTATACGCAAATTGCTACTGAATGTTTAATAATAGGCCTTTCACTGTGTTGGCCTGTAGGGTTGCCAAGTCTCTCTCTCCTCACAGGGCCAGCGGGCCAGGGAGATGAGCCAGTTAGTTCAAGGATGTTGCCTGTTTGAGCAGGAAGTGGATGTTGGTGGTACATTGTGATATTTTTTAATTTTTCTTTAAGTTTACTGCAAACAAATCTCAAGTGGAGGACTGATGGATTCTTTTGCATGTGTTTCCAAAGCATATGTTTTATGTCTTTGTTAGCATTTGCTTCTTAGGTTCTTGCTTTTACAGGACAAAAAAATAAATAAAAATACTTAGATTGAAAGTGTATGCTGGAAAAAGGGGAAAGTTTAAACTCACTTGAGGGTTTAAGTATCCTTGTGGGTGTGGGCAGCAAAGACTGAGGGTGGGCCTTGTAGAAAATAGCTTTCTGTCTTGTTCCAGCTCCTTTACATGAAATTGGTCTTCTAGTGAGCAAGTTAGGCCCTATAACTTAACACCATCCTTATCATTGTCTATGCAGGCTGAACTGAGTTGGAGTCTACAGGTTTCCCACCTGTGTAATAATTTCACGGCACCTGAATACCTGACAATCCAGTTAATGATGGTTTTAAACAAATGAAAATTCACAGGAGAGAAGGGGCCTAGAATGCCATAAATATAGCATGTCATGCCAATCAGGCTCATGGATTTGCTAAAATTATTCAAAAGTTGTACATTAAGGCTACAAGTCTGTGGGTGGTTAACTGGGATTAACCTTGAATAGCATACTGGAACTTCTCAATAAACATGTTTAAGATTAAATTTTATCATTTTTTTAATTATGTGCCCATTTTATGTTTTAGTATTTACAAGCAGCAAGGTAATATGTTTATCTACAGGATGGGATATTAATTAAAAATTACACATAGATTAAAAATCAATTACCATGAGAAATACTGATTCTACAAGTGGAGATATGACAGACAATGTTTAAACTGAAGCAGAAAATGTGAAGAAAACAAATTGTGCATCAAGGAAATTTAGATTCTGAATAATACAAATCAGTTTAAAATGTGTACATAAAATCATTTTGTATGCATGTTGTCAAGTAGCATCTTTATTCATGATTAGTGTTTATGATGCAGATTTTATAATAATACAGGGACAGGAAAAATGCATTGTTATGTAATAGACAACAGGTCTGCAGTGTATAGTATTAGATAGGGAAAGCTAATATTTGAAACTATCACAGCCTGGATTTTGCTTTTTAAAAGTGTACATGAAAATCTCAGTGTTAACACCAAGAGAGGTTTTTTTTAATGTACTGCCTATACATTAAAATAAATATAAAATGTCAAATTATGCAAAATTCCATGTGTGCCGGTATTTAGAAAAGTCTTACTCTTCTCAATAGTATAGGCAACCATGCACTACCAATTTGCTCTGCCCTGGAAACCAGACATGCTTCCAGACGGACCAGTACTAGTTCGGTGTGATAGTGACATTTAAATTTGGTTCAGCTCCGGCTCAGTACTGGGAAAAGTATTATTATTATTATTATTATTATTATTATTATTATTATTATTATTATTTTGGCTTGCAACAGTGCCCTGACTTTCATATAGTTAATTAACTTCAGTTGAGTAGCCATCTGTGGTTGTTCTGGAAAAGACTGATAGAGCCAACACTGGAGTTGTGAAAAGGGAAATACAGTAATAGCTCTAGTAGTAGTATTGCCTGCAGCAAGCTGCTGACATTATTCAAGTACCAATTGGTCTTGTCTGGCACACCAGTCTTTACAAACTTGCTAAATGCCTTGTGGCATGAATAAATTAATCTTGTCTTCCTAGGTGCGCTCTCTCCCTCTCAGACAGATAGTTATTTCTTAAATTGTTGAAATGCCTAGCAGGTGCTTTTGTCAAACATGAATTTACTTTTTCTTTTGCAGTGACTTAGACAGAAACAACATTACAAGGATTACAAAGGTGGACTTTGCTGGGCTTAAGAATCTTCGTGTTCTGTGAGTATGGGGGGGGGGGAGTCTCCCTAAAGCAGTTCCTTTTATTTTAGTATTCAGCAGCTATCTACCACAAGCAATAAAATTCCCTCTGTGTTGTCAGTCTTCAAGCTGATACACAGCTGTGCTGCATACACTGCATTGAATTTATATGCTAAAAGTACACTTTTCAAAGGTACAATGTCAGGCACATTGCACTTTCCACACTTGATTTTGATAAGTCTATTGTATCGTTTCGCTTGCTTGCAAATTGACTTTACTAAATTAGTAAGCAGGAAGTTCTGTAGAGTTCTGTAGGATATTGACTTAGACTTAAGCAGTGCAGTCCTAAATAGTAAAAGCCGGCTCAGTTCAGCGAGTTCACACCCAGAAAAAGTGTGAATAGCATTACTGCCTAAGTGACATTTCATAAGTGACACCAACAGAAAAACAACAACAGACAATGGTCTGATTTATTGAAGTTATGCTGTGGTAGAAATATCTGTGTGCAAATGTGTTAGCAAACCATTAAATGCTCACTAATAAAATGTGTGATTTTAACAAGCCCCCCCCCCCCGAATATGGTTAGTCAAATAAGTCATGTTGAACTCAGCTGAATTCTGGTATTTAGAATTGCAGCCTGAGGCCAAGTTTGTACATGGCTGTTAGTCGCTCAAAGACCGCAGTAATAACTTGCATGCATGAAAGAGACATTACAGATCTAACACAGACAGATATAAATCAGCTGATAGCTCTTATATAGAGTTTTTCAATTGGTATGGTTTTCTGTTAAGTTGATAACAATACTTCAAGCCTGATTAACACTTGATGCACATGACATTCAGTAGCTAAGTAGAGCTGATGATTACTACACCCTGTACCGCATAATCCTATATATGTTTACTCATAAGCAAGTTCTACTGTGTTCATTGTCGTCTATTTCTGGGTAATGCATAGGATTGCAACCTTTTTAACCTATTACTGTCTTCTACCAAACATATAAGTTGACGCAAGGAATTCTGTCACCGCCCTTCCCCTATGCCACATCTAATTTCTATGCCCTTATTAGTCAGTGTCATTGTCATATGATAGATAAGAAAAGAAACTAATGGATAAACTCATTTTTAAGCAGGAATTGTTTTCATTTGGGGATGGATGAGTTGGTATCTTCTCTGTTTCCCTAGTTAATATGACTGGTTTTTAGATTGTTTAATAGTTCTATTTTAATGTGAATGTTTTGCAACATTGTATTTTAGTGGTTTGCTATTCGCTGCCTTGAGATCCCTTTGGGATGAAGGCTAGCTGAATATAATAAACATTTGTTTTGGAGAGAGTGGGAAGCTAACCTTTGTGATGTATTTATTTTTTACATAGGCAATTTGAGTAATTTGAAGATTGCTTATATTTTTAACATCAACAAATATCTTTTTTTCCTAAAATAGGCATTTGGAAGAGAATCTAATTAGTGTAATAGAACGTGGAGCATTTCAGGATCTAAAGCAACTTGAACGGCTGTAAGTATTCTCTCTTGCTAAACCATCTAAATTGTACAGTTGAGAGATGGTAAAGCTATCTTGATGTGATGGAGGTTGGGGTAGGGGTGACATATCACATAGTGATACCTCGGTTTACGAACTTAATCCGTTCCTGAAGTCCGCTCTTAAACCGAAACCGTTCTTAAACTGAGGTGCGCTTTCCCTAATGTGGCCTCCCACTACTGGTGCTCTTCCACCATTCGGATTCCATTCTTAGACCGAGGTAAAGTTCTTAAACCGGGACACTATTTTCGGTTTTGTGGAGTTCGTAAACCGAATCGTTCTTAAACAGGACTGTTCTTAAACCGAGGTACCGCTATACATGTTAACATAGCAGCTGTCTCACTCTGGGGGATGGGGAAATGGTTTGAGCTTGAGGATGGAATATATTCAAGCTGTTAAAACTGAATAAACAAGTTGTGATTGCTATTTTGTGATCTATGAAAAGCACTGAATAATAACCATAATAGCACCACCAGTGTGCATGACATTTTACAGAGTACAAAAGAATAGTTTCTTACAAGAATCTTACAATCTAAAATTCAACACAGGGGAATCAACAGAGTTAGATAATACAGATATTTTAGTTGCACATGCTTTAACTGAGTTGCATGCCGAGTTCCTGAAGGGCATAGGCATCCTAGAATTGTAGAGCTGGAAAGATCCCAAAGTGTCATCTAGTCCAACCTACTGCAATGCGTGAATCACAGCTAAATAACCCCTGACAGATGACCATCCAACCCCTGCTTAAAAACCTCCAATGAAGGAGAGTCCACCACCTTCTTAGGTAGTTTGTTCCACTGTCAAACAGCTCTTACTTTCATAAAGTCATTCCTAATGCTTAGTTTGTATTGCTTTTTGTGTAATTTGAATCCATTGGCTCAGACCCTGCCCTCTGGAGCAGCAGAAAAGAAGCTTGTGCCATCTTCTGTGTGACAGCCCTTCAGTTATTTGAAGATGGCTATCATACCACCTCTTCTTCAGGCTAAACATAACCAACTCCATCAGCTGTTCCTTAAGAAGTAGGGAGGTTAATACAAAGGTGGGCTTTAAGGAGAGATGTGAAGTTGTTCTGCCAGACAGTTGTAAGTATATATGGCAGAAAGGGAGAATGGATGGAGATCTTTGGGTAATTGAAGAATCTGGAGAAGGAACTCTAACGCACAGTGATATATCAGGCTATAAGACCATCAGGAGAGATGGTCAGGGAAGCTGTGTAGGACTTTGAAAATAAAGGCAAAGCAGGTTGTGCTAGATCCAGGAATCGACAGGAAGCCAGTGCATAGGGATTTAAGGTGATCAGATGGCCAGGGAATGAATGATTTTGGCAGCAGAGTGCTGGATATATGTGAGGGTATAAAGTTGAGAAAACAGAACACCAGAGAGAAGATTGCATAAGCTGAGATAATAGATGAGCAGGGCATGAATGAGAGTTTTTGCCAAGGTGACAGAGAGAAAGGTCTGAATTTCTGCAAAATTGTAAATGGAGAAGCAACATGGTTTGGCTGCAACAGAGTAGAGAACATTCAGTGGATAAGGAAAGTGTACAGGAAGAAGAGGTTTGAGGAGAAAAGTTGAGAAGTATTGCATTCTCCTCCCCCCCCCCCCAATTCATGCACCTTGCATCTTAATATAGTGAGAAAGCTGTGGGGTGTAGTTGTAGTGGTTCTTTTCATCAGAGAGGACAGATAGGAGCCATGTGCTGATATGGTCAGAGTTCAGACTGGCTTATGGTGTTCAATTGCCGTTACTGAAAATCTACAGTTGGCAGCTGAATACCAAAAGGCAGTGTAGGCTCAGCTTAGCATGTGGTGAATAACACCATCTGGCCCAACCTCCAGTAGCATAGCCTGACAAAGCCCACAGTTGCCAAAGGCTCAAATGGTTGTGTAAATGAGCTCTAATAAAATGTGGCCAATCCCTGCAAGTGTTCACATGTCATGGAAAGTGTGACATAATTTGCCGTAGGCTGAATGGGATTGCCTTTTCACTAATGCAGTTTGCAGAGTTAAGTATTGAACATTAGGCCGCATTTTAAAACGGGATTTTATTCATACAATTTCTTTTTTACTCTTGTTGAAAATATTTAATTACACTTGTAGTTTGATCAGTTATATTAGATGAAAAAATATTATTAGCCCTTTTTAATAAAGTAGCTGTTATGACAGCTAGACTCTCTCTGGCCAAATAGTCATTAATATTGCAATAAAATATCACTGGAAATAATACTTGCTTCATTTGTGGTTATTCAAAAGGCATGAAACTTCAATGCCAAATGAATGTTGTTTTAATAGTATTTCACTTGCCGACACATCAAAGTAGAGCTAAAACTACAAACTAAAAATATAGACATTTTTCTTTGAAATTTATTGCTTGTTATGGTTCCTGCATGTAAATTTTGAATATATGAAAAGGTCTATAGATTGTATTCAGGCCAAAAACACACTTGTTGACAGCTTTCAAGTCATGTTACTTTGAAGATTTACGCTTCCTAAAAACTGTAACTTAGATTAAGCATTTGGATGCATATAAGTTATCAAACCATAATGCAATGATTTACTTTAATAGACAGCAAAATACTTAGGGTGGTTGAAATTACTAAGTGCAAATAAAATGTGGCCTTGGAAAAGGTTGCACCATAGGAAAACTGCTGTTCAGTCAGAGGTGGCGGTGGCTGCTCTGAAATCAGTTATGCCCAGTACTGTGTAGGCAAGTATAGTAGAGCTTCACAATTGCAGAGATGTGAATAGCTGAAAACTTGTTATTCTTATTAAAGGAGAAGGGCCAGTTTAAAAGTCTATTATAGGCTATAAAAAAATCAATATATTATTGGCTCCATGTAGTGTACATAGTGCAGGTTGTTGATTTGGGTGCTTAGTTCATATGTTGGAATGTAGTTTGTACACATGGAAACTAACTTCCACTCTCAGTCTTCCAGAAGCTGTACTCCAGTGTAAGCCAATTCTGTATATTGGGGAAGATGTAGTTACAGAATCCCATTTTCATGTTTCAGATAAGTTATTTTGACTGTTTTGAGCTGCTTTCATGGTGGGCTTTTTAAAAAGGCTTTACTCTGAGTGGAAAGGTAGCCATTGGCAAATTCGAGATGACTGCACTGGAAATGGACAGTTCATTTTTTATGCAATATTTACAGGGAGAGGAGGGTGGGAGATAAATTTGGGCTGCGTCAAAGTATATTTTCCTCATTCAAAAGGAATGTTCTGAAATTCTTTGTGAATAGTTTCCTGATTAGTGGATAAAAAGTTGGTGAATTGGGGTAAATAAATGTTTGTTCAGATGTTTCATATTACTTAGGTCATGTTGGATTTATGCTTTAGGGTAACAATTCTTTTAAGATTCAAATTTTATCCTGTGGCTGATACTGATTAAAACTAAGTGCAGTGGACAAAGATTGCTTGTGTAACATCCAGTTAACTAAAGACTTGTTCTGATTTAGCCTCTTTCTCTTTGAGCTTTTGGAAATATTCTTATGGAAGTATAAATACAAACTGTTAAGGCTTTGATTGCATTTGGATCCATGAACAGTATATGAGAAGCCTGCTACCTTTTCCTGTCAGATCACTATGGGGAGGAGAGGGCACCAATTCCCAACATAGGAACAGTTGATATACAATAGTTTGGATACCGTTGGACACCAGTTTGAATCAAGATGGTGGACTGAATCGTTCAAAACTAAACTGATTTTAACTACTGATTTGAAAACTGCACTGTTTTTTTGGTTTCTTGGAATTCCACCAGGTATAAAGCTGCTAGCATCTAATTAATTAATTAATTAATAGCTGGCATATTCTGGTAGGGCTGAAACCCTGGAGATCTGCTGCTGCTCACTTCTAGACAATATTGAGCAAGACAGACCAATGGTCTAATTCTGTCTAAGGCAGCTTCCTATTATCCATTACATTGGAACAAATCTAAAATGATATAATTAGATTATCTTCTTAATGTTCCCTTAGAGCAAGAGTAGGAAACATTTTCTATGGGAAAAATCTGTCAGAGACTGCATCTCATGATGGTCACAGCCAGAGCAAAAAGTGGACAGAATTTACAACACTGTATAGTTTCTCTCTCTCCCTTTCTCCGCATGCAAAATTAGGCTGATGGTCCTACCACAGCTTTAGAGCCATGCAGTGTCTAGAAACTTAACTAAGGAGAATTGCCAGACAGGTTAAAAAAGCCCAAACATTTGTCCACTGGTAAATAGTCTAATGGAAAAGAGTAATGCACTAATATAATAGTAATGAAGTATTAGTGTTGATAGCCACTTATACACCGGCACTGAGAATGGACAGAGTATTAAGTTTTCAACAAGCACCTGAAGTTTTGTCCACAACAATCTGCATTATACACGCATTTCTGATTATTCAGTAGCCTAGTTGGCATGTGACACCAAGCCGCAGCTTGTATTTCCATTATTTGGATAATAAACCATGATTAAACCTCAAGTTATCATTGACTAGTGATGCTGACTCACAGATGCGGGTTCCCCCTCAAGCTTATTGGCAAGGAGAGATGTCCAGAAGATGGCTATGTTGTAGTTTCTACTTTACTTGCAGCTCTACAGATTTTGGATGAGGCTGGCTTGCAATACAATAATGAGTGTTGAGTTAACGTAAAGCAAGCTTTACAAACTATGAATTACCAGCATGGTTTGTGGCTTATAAACCATGGTTAAGCCACTGGACCATGTTTGGGTGATCAAGGGAACCATAAGTAAGCATTACCTATGAACTAGACCAGGGGTTCATGGCATCGGGAACTGGGTTGGAATGATTCCAAATATATTAAGGATGTAGATAGGCACTTTAACACACACATTTACTTAAGAAATTCAGTACCATGCTGGACAGTGTAGTTATGACTTAATCAAATTAGCATGTTTTATACTATGTGTGGTTAGTGGTTAGATATAAAAGATGTGTTCCTATTCACAGGAAGAAATGTGACACAATGCATGAAGAAGTAAAGGAGAAAACCAAGGTTTTTATTTAATTATTTTGTGGGTGGGGGGCATTTGTTTCATTTTTAAAAGGCTTGAAGCAGTTGGTAATTAAGCCTCCCTGGCTAGTGTCAGCTGCTGCCTTTTAGAAGTGGTTTATTAATATGAACAAGAAAATGTCTTGAATTGAACAACTATACAACTTGGGATAGAAATGCAATGGAACTTCCAGCAGCTATTATATCTTTTTGCACTTTGTTTGTTGGGCTCTGTGATATATGAATTGGAATGAAATCCTTAATCAGTGTTGCCTGTTCAGCATTATTGGTCTGCTAATATGAATGACAGAACAGTAATACTGAGCTCCATTCATGATACAGCATGTCTGTCTTCAGTAAGCAATAACTACACTCTGCAACATTTTTGATCTCCCTTTACTGATGAGAGTGGACTTTGCTCCTTCCTAAACACTTAAAAGTTTGGCGCCTCTTCTACAGAGGAAGCCATTAGCAGCTCTGTCAACAGGCCTTCACAGGAGGAAGCCAAATTCAGGAAAAGGGCAGCTAGAAAGACCACAAGGAACATATTTTGATAAATTATTTTGGTTTGCATGGGTGCATCTGCACAGGCCTGAAAAACACAGAAGCTTATTTTAACTAATAGAATAATAAGCCATCCCGATTTCATCAAAAACATTTGCATAGTAGGTCAGTGACCCATAAGAACTCAAGGAAAAACAAAAAAGGTCATGTTTAAATAGACCAGAAGATTTAAAACCACAATTCCTATGCTTCCAGACCAAGGATTACAGTTGTGAATGAAGAAAGCACAGCATAGAACTAAAGCTTCTGGAACTATTACTTTAGTTGTTTCTGTATATTCTTTGCTTAAACAATTTTGTAGTTCTGTGACATGTATGTTAATGTTTGTACTTCTAAATGCATTAGTGGAATGTTAGGTCCTCTTTATTTGCATCCTCTTCTGTCTTGACTATCACATAAAAGCACAGGATGGTATCCAGCTGGTATCCTGAAGCATACTGCCTCCAACAGCAAAGGTAAAACATAGCCATGATGGCTAGTAGCCACAGATGACCTCATCTGCATTAGGATACTTACAAAGGGCTATTTGAAAGCCTTGTGGTTTGCTTCGAAATTTCAGTAACAGAGGGTTTCAAACGAAAGCATCATCTGGTGTTACTATGATGCCAGGTGATTGACAGGTGGATGGCCCTTCCCACTTGCCAACTCTGGCCTGCTAGAAGTGTGGGACATAAAGATATGACCTCTGGCCAGAAAATGTCCCCCACCCCTGATTTAAAGCCATCCAAATTGGTGGTCATCATTCCCTCTTGCGGGAGTTGATTTCATCTTTAAACTCTGCATTGTGTGAAGAAATACTTTATTATTTTATCTTTCCCGAGTCTTCCAGCATTCAGCTTATTTGGATGTTTCTGAGTTCTAGTGCTTTGAAAGAAGAAGAAGAAAAATTCTCTATCCACTTTCACCACACCGTACATATGTTTATACAGTGGTACCTCGGGTTAAGTACTTAATTTGTTCCGGAGGTCCATACTTAACTTGAAACTGTTCTTAACCTGAAGCACCACTTTAGCTAATGGGGCCTCCTGCTGCCGGCGCGCTGCCGGAGCACGATTTCTGTTCTCATCCCGAAGCAAAGTTCTTAACCTGAAGCACTATTTCTGGGTTAGCGGAGTATGTAACCTGAAGCGTATGTAACCTGAAGCATATGTAACCCGAGGTACCACTGTACACCTCTATCACTCATGTTTTCTCAATACTAGAAAGCTCCAAACATTGGAAGCTCCAAACATTGGAACCTTTCCTCAAAGGGGAGTTGCTCCAGTCCCTTGATCATCTTGGTTGCCCTGTTCAGAGCCTTTCCTACATTATTTTTGAAGTGAGGTGACCAAAATTGTACACAGTATTCCAAGTGTGGTCACAGCATAGATTTGTAGAGCCACAGTTCTGTTTTCAATTCCTTCCTAATGATCCCTAGGATGGAATTCACTTTTTTCACAGTTGCAATGAATCGGGTATCCACTACAATCCCAAGGCTGTTCCTTATCAGCCACCACCCATTTAGAAACCATAAGCATATATGTGGAATATATTTTTTATGCCCCAGCATGCACCACTTGACACCTGTTTACATTGAAATTGCATTTGCCATTTTACTATCCATTCACCAAGTTCAGAGAGGTAATTTTTGGAGATCTTTACAATCCCATTTTGCTTTAACCGCCCTGTACAATTTCATGTTGTCAGCAAACTTGGCTCCCTCTCTGCTCACCCCTAACTCTAGAATTTGTCTGCAGCACTCTTAAAGAGAGCTTAATGAGAGTTTAGCTGTGTCACCTTTTCTTAGGTATATTTTCAACCCTGTTGTTAACATAGCAAGGACACACCTTTAGGTGTGATCGTAGCTGTATTGCCTGTCATGGTTGAATGACATTTTTTCTTGTTGGGACAGAAAAGATGTCAAGAAAGGTGGATGCCTTTAAAATAGCCTACAGTTTCTCAATAAATCTTCATAGATGATTTTGTTTCCTGGCTAGATGCAAGAGTAAAGTACGTTTGTTAGTTTATTTATATTTAAGATTTCTTCTCCACCCTTCACTATAAAGAGTATCATTAGACTTTGATCCTAACTGACAAATGATGGGCAAAGTCCATCAATAATGAGCCTATTCAGCTCTCATTGACCAATGGTATTGTCACTCCTCTCTTCTCAGTATTATTTATGTTCATCTTTGCTTTGTTTACTCTCATTCGCTCTCCAGATATTAACTAAAATCTGCAGCAGCTGCTCCTGTTTCACATGAAAATTTGAGTTGGCTGTTATTATGGCATGAGAATGCTGGAATAGTTTATCCAATTACAGTCTTGGCAGCAGTGTGCCACATTGTCTGTGTCTGTGGGGTTGAATTGAACAGTGTCCCCTACAGTTAGTGGGTTCCGAGCTAGTTCAGATGTACAGTATTGTGCAACCAGGTTTACACTATGTAAACAAATTTTTAAGAGCCATTGGGCTCAACCTCTCTGCTCTGATATGCCATGATGCTTATCTCCTTCTGGTTTCTGGCAAACCACAGAAGGACAGAAAGGCACAAGAACTTACTGGTTCTTAAAAGTATATTCATTGTTGAGAATGAAGCCCCTTGATAAATACCTGGAGCCTGACCTTTAGCCTTTGACTGGACATCAAAGCAGCACCCTCTGCTTTCTGTACTTCAGATTCCTGCGTCTCCATCTTCAAGTTCTTCTGACTTCTGGGAAACACATCATAGGAACACAGAAAGCTGTCTTATGCAGAGTCAAAGCATTGGTCTATCTAGCAGACTGACAGTACTTCTACAGGATTCCAGACAAGGGACCTTTTCAGCCTTTCTTGGAAATGCCAGGGATCGAAACTGGAATCTCCTGTATGCAAAACAGATGCACTACCACTGAGTTATAGGCCTTACTTGAGACCATATATGCCATTCATTGTGTTTTCTAGTAAAGTTGAAAACGTTTATTTCATTAGTCATACATGACTCTGTCTGTCTCTCTGTCTCTGGGTAATATATATATATATATATATATATATATATATATATATACACACATACAATTTGTGTAAAGAAAATGGAAAGTTTTATAAAATTTAACAACCCAGCTAATAAAACACTTGGAAGATATAAAAGAATCACAGGGTATAATTAACAGGTTGGCCATTTTTATTATTGTTTTAAGTGATCATCTGTCCTACAGTTGAAAGTAAAAACAGATTTGTGAGGTACACCTAAAAATCTATTTTGCTTGAGGGAGAGATCTAAATGAGGGTGAGGATGTTAGGATTCTTGCTCTGTGTTTGCAGTCATGGGATTGTTTTCTATCACATGGTGGTGTATGTTTTCATTCCACATAGTGGGAAGGGATAGAGACAGAATTTTTTTTACTGTGTTCTGTGATGTGGGACTATTGTCTCCCCCCCCTTTGCTGTCTGATGAGAAAGAGGAAGGAGCTAATTCAGAATGCTTTTAGTGTATTATATGTAAATAAAGTAGATTAGCCAAAATGCTGAGCTACTGAGTTTGTTACGTGAACCACTAATACTCTGCAGGTTCCGTAAGCGTGCTGATGCCTTTTGGTCAGTGGCGTAGCGTGGGGGTGCAGGGGGGGCCGGCTGCACCGGGCGCAACATCTGGGGGGGGCGCTCGTACTCGCAGCTCTCTGCCCCTACCTGGCTCACTCACTCTCTCTCACTGCAGTGCTGGCTGTGCGAATCCGATCCGAGCCGCTGGGTCGCCGCCCACTGTGGAGGGGGTGGGTGCCAGGCGTGCGGTGCGGAGAGAGAGCGAGGGACTATCTGAGGGAGGGACAGTGCAGCGGCTGCCCAGTGCAGCGCTGAGCGCGGGAGAGAACCACACCAGACCAGACCAGGCAGCAGCAAGAAGAAGCTGGCAGCGGCGGCAGGTTAGGGGTTAGAGGGCGCAAATTACTTGCCTTGCCCCGGGTTAGGGGGCGCAAATTACTTGCCTTGCCCCGGGTGCTGACAACCCACGCTACGCCGCTGCTTTTGGTATCAGTCGCTGTGATGTTTGGGCTGGAGAAAGCTTTTGAAGCTCCCGAATGACCGACCAGGAGGGAGAGAACATGCCAGTCGGGCATGTGTCTCTGCCAGGGTCCTACACACGAGTAGGACGATCCTAACAGAGGACATATACAGTACTAAGAAATTGCATAATTCGCTTTCTAAGTGGTTTCTGTTTTAGAAGCAAATAAGAGTTGTCAATTATAACTGCTAAAATACCTTTACAAATAGAGTTAATTGGCCAAATGATCAAAGCAATCAAGTTCTGAACAAAACATTAGGTACGTTTTTGTTAATGGATTTCCAACATAAGGGGTTAGTTATTTGAATATATTTGTGTTATTCATATTGTGGTTTTTCTGTTTATATAATGTCTGATATACTTGGCATTTAAAACTTGATTCTTCATGTAGTTGAAAGGAAGATAAGTCTCAGACTCTAGCTCTTCCATCGAACTATTTGGTTCAAACCAGCTATGAAGTAGCTAGTGCTGAACAGATTAAAACTTGCCACTGTGTGTTAACAAGCCGTCAGATTTGCAAGCATATAAAATAAAACTGTATTTTAAAAAATCTAGTATGGGGACAGATTTGGGTAGTCACAAGGACCATGATGAAAATAGTAGGGGAATGCTAAAGATAATTCCAAAGCAAATCGGCAAGGAATATCAGAGTAGAGCTCCTGTGCTTCTGTACTCTGATAGAACTCCACTGAGGTCAAAGAAGAAGTGAAGTTAAATGCATTAATAGAATTAATGTGCATGCTTTTTTGTTGTTTAAATAGAGGCTGCTGGGAAGTAACTCTAATTATGTGAGCTTCACTTGAAATGTAAATAGCTTTGGAGAGGCAACTTATTATCGGTCCCCACTCTCCATGGTCCTGAGATAGCACAGGCTTCCCAGCAGCTACTATTTACAGAACCAAAAAAATGTATGTTAATTGCATTCACATAATTAATGTCACGTCCAGCTTGACCTTAATGCCATGTCTGGTTTGGGATTGCATAAGGGAAACAGAAAATGTTGCTAAAATGTTCTAGCTCTCCAGTTTAATTTAATTTATGTAGTAGAGTGATCTTGGGGCAGACCACCACAACATAACAGTAAAATACAATCAACACCTGTTACTGAGAGATCAATTTGTCATGAACACCCAATATATTCAGAAACCCTATTTAAAAGCCTGGAGGAAGAGAACTTGTCTTCTGGTAGTGCCAGGAAATAGACAGAGGAGGAGCCATCATGAGGAGGGAGGGTGTTCCACAACTGGGGTGCCATTACTGGAATATTCTCTGGCACATCATAGATCTCCTAACCTCAGTTAGTGTTGGCACTGTAAGAAGGAAGTGCTAGCCCAGGCATAGGCAAATTTGGCCCTCCAGATGTTTTGGGACTACAACTCCCATCATCCCTAGCTAACAGGACCAGTGGTCAGGGATGATGGGCATTGTAATCTCAAAACATCTGGAGGGCCAAGTTTGCCTATGGCCGTCCTAGCCCACCACCAAAGTCCAAACAAGGCTTTATGGGTATCTTGATTATTAGTATCATGATTGATACCTACCTCTGCTTTTGGTAGATTTTGGTTGAGTGCATGAGAAACTATGGATATGGGCCTCTGGCTGTCAGGCTCAGTTCAGTGTTGAGGCCTGCATCCAGAACCCTCACAGCTTACACCACTGGTCCTCCTGACCTGGCTGGTCAGACCCTTTCTGTTTCTGAGTCGTGGCAAGTGCTTTTATATTGGTTCATGGTAGTTATTGAGAATATATCATATTTAAATATATGTAAACCATATGAAGATAGTAGTGACACAATGTTTTGATAATGCTTATTGGATATGACACAAGTTATCACTTGACCTGGACTTTCAGAATTAAAGGTTTCTTCAGAAGCAGATTAAATGTCAGAAACAGATTCTAGGGAGGAAGAAAATTTAAGTATATATTTTAAGTATTGTTTTCACAATTCACTCAGGCCATGTATAAGACAATATAATCCTTTCTTGTGTATATAGAGAGAAAGATGTCCCAAGGAAAAGGAAGGCAGTATCTTATTACGACCTGTAGTCTACTTTGGGAAGAGGAAGAAAGGGTCAGGTGGATCAGGAATTCACCCATGGTCCCTTAACCATGCAGGACTCTGTCTTGTAGTGGCCAGCCAATGTGATCGGCTCCTTTCTACTTCACCTGAGCCTTGTTTCCATATTCAAACACTTCCTCTCCTCTTATAGAATGGGAGCTGGGGTCACAACTGTTTTTATTCAGGTAGGTAGCCGTGTTGGTCTGATGCAGTTGAAATAAAAAAAAAATTGTCCAGTAGACCAACTAAGGTGCTACTGGACAATTTTTTTATTTATTTCAACTGTTTTTTATGTTTTCCTTCAGTGCCTATGTTCAATAAACCATGTGTTAAATTCAGAGTAGCACTAAACAGATTGCATTCATTGCTTTTCCTTTCAGAACTTAGTGAAATAAAAATTTTCCTTGTTCAGAAAACTTTATTGAAAATGTTGTCTATAAACATATTTTGCATAAAGAATTCAAATATAAACAGATGTAGTCCAGTATATTTTTATTTTGCTCACATTAATAGTACAGTGGTACCTCTGGATACGAACGGGATCCTTTCCGGAGCCCTGTTCGCATCCTGAAGCAAACGCAACCCACATCCATGGGTCGTGATTGGCCACTTCCGCGCATGCGTGTGACATCATTTTGACCGTCTGCGCGAGCGGCGAAACCCGGAAGGAACACGTTCCGTTACTTCCAAGTTGCCGCAGAGCGCAACCTAAAAGCACTCAACCTGAAGCAACTTCAGCCCGAGGTATGACTGTAATCTAGTACTTTTTCTAAGCAATAGCTAGCAATTTATACAACATAATATACAAAATAACTAGCTAATGTACCAAATGGTTGGAGTTGGATGGTTCATTTTACACACTAATTATGTTATTAGCTAAATTCACACATTAACTGTAACATATATAGAAAAAAATGCAGCTGTCTCAAATAAACTTGATTAGCTCATATAACTTGAGCAAAACTAAACAATGACAAAGTTACACCCAAATGTTCCCAATAATAAGTCTCAGCTTTACGTCTAAAGAAAGCATTGCTGGCCCAGCTGCTAAATTCCACATCTCTTTTGAAAAGCTGGTGGATTAGAAGCTAAGGAACACAAAATATTATAACATTTTTTTGTTGCTGTTAACGATACTAACACAAACATGGGCTGTCCTTCCTCAATCACACTCCCAGTTTGTTTACTGATACTGTATATTAATGTATTTTGTTTTCTTCTGTTAGATCCTAACAGAAGATTAAGGTTGTGATGTACTTAACTTAGATGAAGTGCCTAGGATAGTATATAGAATTTATATCTGTGGAATCTTGTTATCGGGGAGAGAACAGTGATGAGGTGATGCTGGTTCCTAGAGCCTCGACTTCCTTAAGGTCCTATGTGTAAAGAGAGAATAACTGTGGCTTTAGTCCTGCTGCATCTGTGGGTTTCAGCAATTATCTAAGGGCTTAGTATGAGTGATTTTCATAAATCTCAAATCAGTCATAAAAGTGTAACTGGTATGTTTAAAGAAGCTCTTGGAGTTTGTACAATATTGCTCACTTCTTCTGCATAGGGTTTTTAAATGAACCATAACATAGGAAATTAAAGGCTGAAAAAGAAATAGTTCGGTAATATAACAAAGGAGCAAGAATATAAATGGTATACCTATTTCAGAACCTAGATGCTTAGTGGAAAGAGAAGTGTCTTTTTATACACTATGTGCTATTCTGCCTGCAACTGAATAAATCCAAACTTGAGCATCGTAGCATGCTCTGATGTAACTCCTTGGAAATGGAACAAAAAGGAAAGAAGTGTTTGGAGTAATGGAACAGCACAATGTAATTGTAGGTGAAAACTATATTGCAGATGTGAATACAGTCATAGATACGAACAATGCTGGAATTGGATCCTTCAAGATCTCCAATACATCTTGCACGGCATAAATGAGGGCATCTTTAAAGTTTCAAAAAAGCAGGGTTTCCATACTTAGAAACCAGTTATAATTAGCAGTGTGTGATCCTGGGTTTGCTTCAAAAGCCATGTGGGTTTTCAAATTTTCCTGTTGAATACACAAAAAACCTGGAGTTTTCAGTTCAACAGGATCCCTCTCTTTGCCCTGTGCCCTCTGTCATATTTTCTTGGGATAGGAGTGTGTCAACAGGCAGAAAAAGGCTTCTTAGACACAAGAGTTAAAATTTGAAAAGAAAGCTTGGGTTCAAGGTTTACTGCAATTGTCCCCCCAAAGATCAGACTCTTAAAAAAAAAAACCCTGAAAGATTCTGTGTGTAGAGTACCATTTGTAACTTTTATTGTTCATAACATTTGCTGTCCTGTAAGAGTCTCCAAATAAGCTTTGTTAACTTTGGTCATTCTTTATTTAGGCGGCTGAACAGAAATAAACTACAAGTTCTTCCAGAGCTGCTTTTTCAGAACACGCTGAAACTGACCAGACTGTAAGTATAGTTTTTATTTTTGGCATAGTATAAGTGCTTTGTTTGGTTCTTTAGTCAGCAATTTTGGCTGTGAGGTTTTGGTATGATGCCTTCTTGAAGTGGATTTTGAGATGTGTCTTGGTTTATTGTACAAACTCTTTGCTGAAAAACATATTTGAGTTACAAATTTGAGAAACATTTCCTTCTCCTTTTACTGGTGCTGTAGATTTATTTAGAAATTGAAGGTTGCTGATGTTACAACTCCTTTTCAACATATTTTATACAGGAGGAGTCTGAGAAGTTGGTAACCACAAAGAGAGTGGTTTTGGTATATTCACGCTGTGATTACAGCTGTGCTGTAATCACTTACGTTTCTTGATGGAAGTATCTCTCATGTCTCTGTGATGATGGTCACTTGTCACGTGTCTTGAAATATTTGCAAGATATGGGATAACTTGATTTTAAGTGAGAATGGTCAAGCCATTGAATTTGCAGCCTTGAAATGGGAAAAGCAGTGAGGGGCTGGGAAGGAGTGGCGGATTCTTTACCACATGGAAAGCCCTGCTGGCTGCTGCAGGCCAGAGGAAATGGGATGGGGAAGGGACGGAACGGGACGGAACGGGATAGGACAGGATGGGATGCACAAATTGTTTTCTTCTACTGGAGCTAGGCCAGCTCCAGACAGGGGGAAGTCCCCCAGGAAATCCATGGGGTTTTCCAAAGCAACCAGGATCCTACCTCTCAGCCTGCCCAGAAACACATTTTTTCAGGGTATTTTCGCAGGCTACAACTGGTGGTAGCTTACTGTCCGCTTGAGTGGAGCAGAAGTCTCTCCTGTGGCAGAACAGTCCCACTCCCCACAGCACCCTGGTCAGCAGTGATATACTCTTCTGACAGCGGCTAGTGGAGAGGTGATTGTGCACTATCCTCCCCAGTCATTAGCACTAGGTATGGGGTGGTTAGGATAGATGTGTTGGAACATTTTCTGCCCTCTGCATTCTGAAAGACTTTACTCTGATAGCTCACATACAAAAAGGTTTTTTCTAGGTTTATGAAAAGGTATGTTTGCAAAAGAATCTCATTCACTATAAAAGCTTAAATTAAAAATGCTGTTGATAATCTGGCAGTCACAGCATATGCATGGCTCTCAGAATATTAATAGACCTAGCAATCAGCCAGCATTCAGCATTCACCTTTTTCCTGTCCTCTGTGCCAGTCAATAAGTTGATCTTTTGTTTCTAGCCAAAGTTAACAATAGCAAAGATGATAAAGGTTGTTTGAAAAATGCCAGGTATTTCCTACAAGAAGATAACTTCATTTTCACACAAAAATGTGAAGTTAAGCTTTGCAAATATTTTTACTGTACAAGAATGAAGCACTAAAAGGTAACAACTCTCTTGTCTACTGAGACAAAGTTTCCCTGGATTTTAGTGTCAACTCCTTCGAACATGGGCTTTTCATTACTTATACTTCCAGTAGCTATTTAATTAAGAACTTCAACTTTTCACATGAAGCTGAATGCAAATATGTTGTGCCTTGGTATTTTGTCCAGCAACTTACATAACTATGAGGAAGGTATGCATCCTCTGAAGGTATAAATGAAACAAATAAACCACTTGGACAGCTCTGTAAAAGCCAAAGTTATAAGGAGGCAATCAAATTATAGTATCTTTCAATACAGAATATGTCTGCAACATCTATAATTATTTCTATGGTCCTTTGTAACATCTGTTTGATATTACTGGTAGGAATATACAGGAGAATCAACCTTAAAATGGAATGCAAAGCATCTTGTTAAAGGAGTTTGATGCATGCCTTATTCTATCCTTTCTTGCCAGAGGAGGAGTCTGGAGTTATACATTGCATGTTTGCTTTTTCTTCCAAGGTCATTTTATTAAAGTTTTATGATACTTTACTTATACTTTCCTGCCCCCAATATAAAAGGCAAAGCATTTTTAAAAGGTCAGGAAGAAGAGGGAGAGGGGAGGGAGATAGAAATGTCTGAATTGAGGTACTTGCAACTGAATCACTTCTGTTTCTATCTATACCACTTCTAGAAAATGATTCTTGAAATAGACATTCAGATCGCTGAATCCACATATAAGTAATAAAGAAGTTAGTGGGCTAGACAGTGTCCATTGTTTAGTTATGTGATCAAAACAAAGTTAACATTTATGATTTCCATCTAACAATGGATATCAAGTTTCATTGATATTTGAAAAACCAAAACTTGTACCTTGAACAGTTGAGCCCTGCCAACCATACAACTTGCAGGAAGGCTAGTAAGCTTTTCTCCTTGCACATACTTCTTCCTTGGATAATGCTCAAATTGTTTTTCTGGTTTTTTGGTGGTGATGGTGAGCCATCAACAAGCATCAGTTTGAACTTAACAGTTCCTTCTGTATGACTGCATCAAGTATTAATTACTATACAGTGGTGCCCCGCAAGACGAATGCCTCGCAAGACGAAAAACTCGCTAGATGAAAGGGTTTTTCGTTTTTTGAGCTGCTTCGCAAGACGATTTTCCCTATGGGCTTGCTTTGCAAGACAGAAACGTCTTGCAAGTTTGTTTCCTTTTTCTTAACACCGTTAATACAGTTGCGACTTGACTTCGAGGAGCAACTCATAGAACGCGGTGTGGTAGCCTTTTTTGAGGGTTTTTTGAGTCTCAGTATTGTCCTTGTAGAACTCAGCAGGCAGGAGGGTAGAACAAAACTAGAATTAGTTGGATCTTTCTGTCCTTTGCTCTGGCTCCACATACTATTTTTCCCTCTGTCTTCCACCTTACTAGTCCCAGTGAACACCAGCCCCCACTCTTCTGTTGTAAGGATTTTTTTGAATTAATTGAGAAGTGCCAGAGGTACTTTCTTTTATGTGTATGCACAGTTATACAAACAAAAAACAAGAGTGTTATATCTATCATTGGTGTGGTGCTTCTTTTTGCTCCCATGTGGTTCATCTAACTGCTTTTTAATTGTGTCTAGTTTGACATATTCCTGTTGTTATTGTTGGGTTTTGATAACAGTTCACTATGATAGCTCACTGATTATTGTGCAAGACATTTCCCATAGGTTTAAGAATAATTTGGTAGAATGTAGTTGAAGATGGATTAGATTGTAGTTGTGAGATGGGGAAACAAAAGTGAAGTCAAACTTAAGCTGGCGAAGGTGACAGTTTAGGGCAATATTTACTACACCTTCAATTCTGTTTCAACCTTACGTCTTAAAGTAGGTAGCAATTACTTTAAAACAAACAAAAAAACCCAATAAAACTAGCAAGATAAAATTGGAAAATTATGTTAAAACTGATTAAAAATTACCCCGTAAACCTTCCTTTTAGAAAGCTAGCTCCAAACAAGCCCAAGACCTTCAAACCCAACAAGAGCTAGAAGAGGAATAAATAGACTATGCAGAAAAACAGGAGGTCCTTCCTTTAAATTAGTGGTGAGCTGAAACAATTAATTTAGTTTTGCTCTTCTTATTTTTTTAAAGAGCATTTCTAATTTCAAACATGCATTTCCAATCAACTGCCCCCTTGAAATGATGTCTATTAAACATTGTCCTGGTTATTAGAAGGAAGTGCACAAAAGCCTGTCAAGACTATTATTTGTAAAGGCCCCAGAGAAGTGTAGGAAAGATCTAGCTTCTAGCACCTTGGGAACAAGAAGCTTGTCTCTCCCATAACTTGTCTCTGGAAAGCTCCTTGGCTCAAATGATGCACAGCTTGCACAGAGGCATTTTTACATACCCTGCTATATCTCTCCCCTTTGTATCTACTTTTAACATTACAATAAAGCAAAAAAGAAATTTCTTCTGAAGCCTAGTTGTGTACTTGTTGTGAACGTGGTGGGACAGGGCTGTTCCTAATATCTGTGCCCTAACAGCTTAGGACTAAATATATAAAAACAGCACCTTGAAGTGTGCCTTGACATTACTTGGGATCTGATACAGACGAGAGCCTTTTTCGCACTGTGCAGTTATTTAGAGAGAGAAAGCTAACCTTGTGAGACAAGTGCCTTGTGAGAATGTGCCCTTAAATTAAAGGTCCCCTCTCATGTGAGAGCAGGCGCAAGTGGCTCACCTTGTAAACGAGCTCAAATGATTAAGCACTGCCAGGGCAAAATGAACATGACCATATTAAGCAGAGGTTGCTATGGTTTTGGCTCATTCAGGAATTGCGGCTTTACTGTGTACAGATCCCAGCAGGTCTGCTCAGAAGATGGTAAATAATTACAAGGAACACCAGTTCTCCTGGGGGCACTTCAGGTTTGAAAGGATGTTCACTAGGTCAGAGGTGAGAACTACAGACTGCTGAGAGGCTCTTGTACCATTTATCACGCTGGAGCTATTTTTATTGCTTGCATTGCGTGCTGACTCTAAATGGCATAATTTGAACAAAATCATGTCTGGAAAAGTGACTCTGGTTGCAAATCCTTATGGCACCTTTCGGTTCAGTCTACTCCAAGTGAGGCAGAGGGCTCTGTTTATTTTCTTGAAGTATGAAAGGAACGTTAACAAATTATCTGAAATGAGTAGGAAACAAATGAGGGGATGTCAGAAAGTGAATAATCGAGGTTCCATCCTGGATTTCCAGTCTCCCCTGTGTGAAGTTAGCTACTCAAAACTAATATGTGCAGATGTTTCCCTTTTTTTCTAATGTGGCAAAATGGAAAGAGAAGCAACAGTGAATGTAAAGGGATAATCATGAGTTTCAAATAGACTGGTTGATTTTGTTTTGTGTGTTTTTTTTTAAAAAAACCAACAACACACCACTGATAACTAGCAAAGATTTTGTTGTATAGGAAATGTCTTCACAACGTTCAGAAAGAGAACTCTTAATTCTCTTAACAGAACAGAACAAAAAATATTTTTTCTCTTTTTGTCTTCTTCTTCTGCCCAATTAGTGGTTAGAATTTTCTTCTGAAAATCATAGACTTAATGTAGATACCAGATTGTGCAGTAACTGAAAGCAAGTGTAAGCTGTTCATAGACTGTAGCACTGGTACAAGGATACTTGGGTTTAAATCTCCACACAGACGAATTCATAGACTTGTGTAGCATCAAACACAGGTTTTCCAGTGAACATACACATGTCCATGCACACCAGCCAATCCTGTAACAGGTGTTTTCAAACATCTATTTGTATGAATACCATTCATTTTTCCATGTGCATTTAAACCAAAAATTAAGTGTGCACTTGTGCATTTGTAATGTGCTCTTCTGTCCTTGGTAGCTAGTCAAAATATGTGTTTGCTATTGACCTAGCCCTTGCTTCTAGGGGCAAGGTAATTCTTTTTTAAAAAATAAAATAAAATATAAGAAACATGTAATATTCCGAAATATACAACAATGCATGATAATACCAAATCCCAGGTGCAGGTGAGGAGAAGGATTTCCATTTTCCATTTTTTTACATTCTTCTGACATTTAGTTCAGTTTTGGGACTGTCCTTAAAAGTAGCAGGAACTTAATTTTGAGGCCATGCTGATCTTTGAAGGTGTTTGCGCGCCTTCAAGTAAGTTCCTGTACTGCTGTCTAGTTCTGAGCATGCTCCTTTCCCTGGAGGCTGGCATGTGCTTTTTTGTGTGTGTGGGGTGGTTGTTTTTTTTGACCTAGTGCTGACTTCAGAGAGGCTCAGAAAATAGTTTCATTGCTTCCTGAATCTCTCAGAGGCTCACTGTGAAGTCTGGGACAGTTCTTGTCTATTTCTGGGCTCTTCGAGACGGGCAGAAGCTCTTGCCAGAATGGTGTGTTTTTTTTAATGGCCTTACCAGTGCTAAGCTGCCCAGAGCATTTATGCACTCTAGGCTAACTACTTATTACACTAAGAAATATCACTTATTTGTGCTTAGATAAAATTTGATATTCCTATATAGTTGCCTTGAATTTGTTTGAGGGAGGGAAGAAGACACAAATGTAATAAATAATTTGCTAATTGGTAACCTGAACACTAGTTTTCTGGGGTGTGTGTGGATTTTATCTTTCTTTAATAGATTGGCATTTAAATATTACCAGGCATCATTTTGGAAAGTCCTACACACCACCAATACCTATAACCTGAACAAATATTGATCAGTTTTATACAGTCGTGCCTTGGTTCTTGAACGTAATCCGTTCTGGAAGTCCGTTTGACTCCCGAAACATTTGAAAACCAAGGAACGTCTTCTGGTTGGCTGCAGGAGCTTCCTGCACTCAAGCGGAAGCAGCGTTGGACATTTGGCTTCTGAAAAACATTCGAAAACCGGAACACTCACTTCTGGGTTTTCAGCGTTTGGGAACCGAAACGTATGAGTACCAAGGCATTCGAGAACCAAGGTACGACTGTATTTTGAAAGTTTCTACAAATATTGGTCAATGGAACATGTACTCAAAACAGTATATAGCCCCAGGTAAAAAACAAAAACAAAACACCATTCTAAGCATGCTGTGAATGGAATGGGGGTGGGGAGTGTATTTCACAAGGGACTTTTCAGAAAAGTGGGGAAACCCGTGTGCCATCTACGTTTCTGTTGCTTCATGTGAATTTTACACTGTAGTTTGTAATACCAGTAATTTGTGTGAGGAAAGGACGTAATCACTTGTGCAAGGGAACTATTCTAGTTCACACCAGTAATATATATATATATTGTCTGGTGTCAGGTTGTTTCCAGGAGGCTCATACTGTAGAATATTTTATTTGAAGTGAATGCAGGGGAAGAAATTTAAAATCATTGATACTTGAAAAACTCATACAAATTTCTGCCTGTTTGTTATGATATACATTTGGATGAAAATAGTTGCAAAATACAAATTTAGTACTAAAAATGTAGAAGATAGCCATGCTAGATTGCTTTATAGTATATAGCAAGGAATCTGAAGCTGGCTAAGAAAGCTTCTAGTATATCCAATTTAGTATGCCTGTACTATTTGCAGAGCTTTGCGTGTAAGATGTGAATGAACTTCATAGCCAGATTCAACATAGGCCACAAGAGAGACATCCATCACTGTGACTAGAACCAGCTGAAAGCACAATCTCAGACTGTTGCCTGATAATGGATTTCTTCAAACCAAGGACCTGAAAGCAGTTTAGTTCAGAAACATCCAGGAAATAATTTCTGAAGATAGGAAAAAGGCCTATTTGCAGTTGATGGTGAATTTCCATCTTATACTAGCATGTAAAAAAATATGTGGATAAAAGATGTTTGCTAATCATTTCCTAAAATGTGTTCACTCTAAAATGCTTTTGTTTCTGTCAACAAGTGGAGCATATATATTGTTACTAACTTCAGCCAAAAGAAGTTGAATGTTTCACAGTGGTTAGTACTAGCCATGGTCTGTTGTCTGAACCATGGTTAAGGTGACAGATGTACAATGAAACCATGTTTTACATACTTACTGCACACCTAATTCCACATCCTGATTTGCAAACTAATCCCCTAATCTTCATTTAGGTGATGTAATACTTAGCCATGTGTCAGGGGACTGCCATCGGAACAGGGAAGGGAGGCAGAGGGGCCGTTGGGATACAGGGAACCTCCGAAAATCTTGTGAAGCAGTTCCTCTTCCTGTGGTGGAGAAAGCCACACCTCCAGTGGGGAAGAGGGGAAGGGACCAGAGGATGCTGCTGGGAGCCCCAGCGCCGCACCTTGTCAGTCTGAGGGTGGGGAAAGCCACACCTCCAGGGTAAAGGAGGGGAAAGGGCTAGAGGATGTTGCTAGGAGCCTCAGCACTGCTCCTTGTCAGGCTGGCCAGGAGGGAAACATGCCTCTTCCTTCCCCCACCTTGCGCAGAGGGTTAAAACGCAAAGAAGGAAGGAAACGGCTGGGGGTGACTAAGTTCTTATGTTGGGGGAGGACCTGGAAGGGACCACTCCCGGATTCTGCTAGCGATTGAGGCAGACATGAACTTGTGGTTCTGCACTGTAAATAGTTTTGCACCAAATAAAACCTGTAAAAGACAGGTCGGAGTCCTGCCTGGTTACTCACGAGCAACCACCACTGCCATCTGACACAATGGTTAAAGAAAATAAACCATAGATAACATGTGTGCACAAAACCTTAATTTATTGTATAGCCATTTTATATTGCAAATCAGCTGTTCAGATTCCAGATGAATAGGAAACTGCAAAATCATAAGTCTTCTACTGAAATCTAAAGAATAACATAGGGAAGCTAGCTATGCCATTTTAAACAGTTCAGCTATAGCAAGGATTAAGAAAATTGGGAATTCAAGTTCTCACATAAGCAGGCCTTAGGAATCCTGTATTAATGGAGTTGTGAGCTAATCGTTGATTTTCACATGTCCTTCTTATGTATGAATATTTTTGGGATCAAGAAGTAAACGGTCTACCAACTATTATAAGTTTGATGGATGTGTCCATGTGTGCAACTTGTGATTAACAGCATAGCAGGTCAGTTTAGCAGCTGCCTCTTTTCTTATTTATATTAAGCTCCTTATTTGTGGCTTTAAAACACTTCTAAATCCTCATCCACCCCCATCCTTTTCACAACCCTTGGATAAAACTCAGTACCAGCAACTGAGTGGATCATTTCTCATAGCTAAATCTAGGAAGCATCAACTCAAGTTGTTCTTGACTTCAGGGGGATTTGTTTTGACAGAATTTGAGAATACTGTACCTGCATAGTGTTTGCTTGCTCACTGTAGCCCTCTTGAAAATGATTGAGGAAGTAGAACATGGATCTTAACATGAAGTATATAATTGTTTCCTGTTCCTATTTTATCTGTAAGCTGCCTTGAGTCCTGTGTCTGGGAACAAATGCTGAGGAAGAAGTTTGTGTAGCTGAACATTATTATGTCAGTTGCACACTGGTTTATAGGTCAATAAATATACTTGTTGCTACATAAACTGAGTTTGGAATGTATCTGTAATTCTAGAAATGACTGGTCACTTAATTTTGTTTAGGGAAAAATATTCCAATAGGGTGGTTGTGGAAGATGCTGGGTTAATAACTGTGTGTGGGTGTGCATGTATGTATGTATAGATGATAGACAGATATGCTATCTATCTATCTATCTATCTATCTATACCCAAAGAAGGTACAAATATACCCTGATGAAACATCAGTGATTGCTTATTTCCTGAGTAAGTTCACCTTTCTGTGACAGCACATAAGGCTATTTCTAATTCTTCATTCCCCCCTTCTCTTGTACTTCCATGGAAACTTCTGATGATGGAATTAGTACATGCTGTGGTTTTGTGATTGGCTCTTAGGTAACCGATGGGGGGAAATTGTGTGAAACACAATTCAAAAGACTTCCTGGTAGTTGATTGATTAAAGGACTTTGTAGTTGGTGAACTAAATAGGCAAATTTTCATATTAAATATATATTTGCACGGCAAAAAAATTAAAACAAAAAACTATGGAATGATCCCCACTACAGCACTGATAAACAAGAGATTGCCAATAAAATTACCATTGAAATGTAAAACTATTTAAATGCTTTAGCTAATGTACCCTACCTCTTGACTTTTTGATTTGGTAGGATCAAGTCTCAGTGTCCTTGTGTTATATGCTTTCTCTTTTTGTCCCATAGATGTGTTTTAAGAGTTTCATTTGGGAACCTTCTTAACAATGTGTGAATGAATTGTTAGATAAAACTGCATAAAGAAAATAAATTATGTCAGAAAGTTAAGTGCCATTTCTGGCATGTGATCTGAGTGCTGCTTAAATGGAACAGACAGCATTTCTTCCAGAGACACTGATCTGCTAATCCTAATTTGACTAATCCAGGGAAATAAAAGGATGGTGTTTTTTTAAACTATTGTGAATTGGTTGTCTGCCAGGGCTCAAATTGAACTGTAAAATCACGGATACCTCATTTATATAAGCAATTGAGGGTTTTATAATAAACATGGGGAAGATGTTATAAGCAATTACATTTTATTTTAAATATAAATATCTTTGTTTCAAGAGTGAGTTTTAAGTGGAATGCCTGTATTTTTATGCATGTTGTGCACTGCTTTGGGGGTTCTGGTTGGAAAGCCCCAAAGAGATCTTAATAAATAAATAACATTTTCATCATAAACAGTGGTAGATTTATAGGTATGCACAGTATATGCAGAATTAGGGTCCCATGTGGCTGATGGCACCCAAGTTGTTAGTAAACATTGTTAATTGACAGGCTACTTTTGAAACATGATTACAAATAATGACATGGTATTGTTGTTTTATAGTATTTTTGTTTGTTGTATTGTTTCCTCTCCTCGTTTCTCCTTCTCCCCAGTGAAAGTCAGTGGAGGCTGATCCATCCAGAAAACCAGGACTTAGGCCTACCAAGTGAATTGTGAAGGAATTTGTAAAAAAGTTTCCTTCAAAATCTGAAAGCCACACTATTTTCCTCCCAACACATCCTGCAACAATCCATTTCAATGTAGAGAGAGTCCTAGATACTTTTCTGTCAGTCTCCTATTGTCTGACCAGTCAGTTCTCTGTGCTACTCAGTCTTGGTCCAAATGTAATGCTATGTCTCGGAGTTCCCACCCATCTGTTTTGGGGACTGGATGGGACGGGACATTGCAATATTAAATCTGTATGTTAATGGCTCTCCTGGGTCTTATCCCTGCTTGTGCAGTTTTTCCTTCGCCCCTGTTGTCCTGATGACAATCCAGCCACATTAGCAGATCTATTCTGGTAGATCCAGGAGCCAGTACATCTGTTCTGAACATGCTCAGAGTTGTTTCCTTGAGTTCAAGGTCCAACCGTATTGTCTGCTTTTTTTATTAATACTTTCTCTATTGTGTGAGTGAACTCCACTGGACCCACTGTAAGAAGTATATCATGATCTCCTGATTCTCAGACCTAACTTCAGGCAAGACATGGCTCAGGTGAAGCTGAGGCAAGAGGTTGGGGGATAACAGAAGCCCACAGCCAGTTTTAAGAGAGATCCAGTTTGGTTTGCTCAGAGCAAGGAGTAACTGAGATGCGGGAGCCATTATAGAATGAGAGATTATTGCCCTTCCCACTCTGGCTTGTTGGTTGTAGTTCTGATTTCCCTGTTGGTCACAGCTGGATGTTCACGCACCATCTGAATCCTTCTCTCACAATATCCTGGTGCTTGGTATCAGGACTCAGGATTAGATACAGGTTCTCTGCCTCTTATGGGTTTGCACCATAACAAATGCATCATGAAGACTATCATATACACTATCAAATGAAACCTAAAGGTGGGTGATTACCTGGGGGAGTGGACCTTCTCAGCTGTGGTATGCTATTTTTGAAAATCTCTCACCCAGGAGGCTCACCTGATGCCTACTTTGCTATCCTTTTGGTGCTTGCAAAGACCTTCTTGAATTCTCTCGGGCCTTTTAAGTGTTAATAATGTGATGATTTGACTGTTGCAGCTTTGTGCACAGCTTTAACTTTTTAATCATCATCGTTTTACTGATGGATTTTATTTTTTAATTGTATAATTTTACTCATTGTTGGAAACTGCCCTGCAAGTATATTGAAGGGTAGTATAGAGATTGACATAACTGAATAAATAAAAAAATAAATAAAAAAATAGGGGCTTCTCTACATGTTCTTATTGTAGTAGGGGTGTCCCATTGTTAGGTTGGAATTTCCAGCAGTAAATACACCAATGTGGACATCATACCTGTGTATACACACATATCTTCCAGCACTAGGACTTGAGCTTCAGCTTAATTCTCAAATGCTTGTGCTCCTTCCTATTTGTCTGCTTTTGGTGGGATAGTTTCTCTCCTGATCAAAGTCACTTAATGATACTAGGCCGTAGTGGACATGGAGAAATAGCTGAGTTGTCCCACAGCATCTCTTAGCAAGGTTGGAGTGTGCAGCACAGGGAGTGTCTAGTGGACAAGTGCCATGATTGACAATCAGGAATACAGCAAATAGCTTTGGCATGGCTTGGTAACTGAATCAGACAAGGTAAGCAGCAGGAGAATTTCAGCTATGTCGTGGGAAATGGCCTTGGCTAGTTCTCTGATTAGCAGTGGAGTGCAAATCTCTTGGGTCACTGCCAGGGTTCAGGAGAGCAAAGCACTGCTGGGATGTCAAATTGCTGCCATATTTCATTCACAGGGGCGGAAAAAGAGTTGACTGTTTGATTACAGCTTATTGATGTTAGGGGCATGCCATCATTACAGCACTCTTAAAGCATTCACAGAAATTACTGGAAAGCTGTGAGCAAATAAGTACATTTCCATTTGACAGAAGAAGAAAAAACAACAACTTTGCCTTATTTTATTCAAATATTGTTTTAATGGGCATTGCTTTAGAATCTTAGAGCAGTGGGAACAATACGAGCATTAGTTTGAAAGACAAAATCTTGGCTAAGAGCTGTGAGGTGCCTTCAGAGGATACAGAATAGTTCTTAACATCCATCTTTTCATTATCATAAATCATCTGCATTGTGGGCATGATAAGAGAAACTGGCAATTAGACTAATCTATTGTAATATTTATTATTACAATTATGAAACCACATAATTGTTCTGGTAGTTCTGGTTGCGAACGTGATCCATGCGGGAAGCACGTTCGCAACCCACAATGTTTGCAACCCGCAGTGCTGCGTCTGCACACGAGCACAGGGATCCTGATTTGGCGCTTCTGCGCATGTGGAAAGCACAATTTAGTACATCTGCGCATGCGTGAGTGCTGAAACCCGGAAGTAACCCGTTCCCGTACTTCCGGGTTCAGAGTGGTGCACAACCCGAAATCGTGTAACCTGAAGAGTCTGTAACCCAAGGTACCACTGTATTCTAAAATAATAAAACAGTTCAAGCAATATAAACTTTTAACAGGAACAACAAATAACAAGAACAACAAATGGAAGGCTTTCTTTAAAAAGAAGAGCTTAACCTTTCCTTGAATATTTTCAAAAAATTGAATATAGGCATCACTGGAAAAGGAATTCTGCAAAACCCAGTATGACAATAGCCGACCCCCCCCCTTTTCCCAGGCCCATTAGAGGATTGAGAACAGGGACTCTTCCAGCAACCTAAGGACATGAGATGGTCATTTATTCCACACTGTTTAGAGATCTAAAGGTTAAAGACCAGTACCTTGTATTATTCCAGAAGCAAATTGGTGGCACTGCAGAACCAGAAGACTGAAGTTATACAATCACAATATTTAGTGCACATCAAACAGGGTTCTGTATCGATCAAAGCTTTCAGAGGTTCCACAAGAGCAGATTAACAAAGAAGTTACAAAAGCAGCTAATATGGCAACCAAACCCCTCTTTTCCGGATAAGGATTCACCTGATAAATCAGGTAAATGAAGTTCTAGACACTGCTGTTATCTTGCATCTAGAAGTTTTCTAAGCTCTAAGCATGGCTATACCACTGACTAGATATACTAATGGTGGACTCACTTCATCATAAACTATTCCAGCCATTTGTGGATCATAGAAAGTACATATGATTATGATGCCAGTTCTTTACATAGCCAGTTGAATTTGGCTGCATGACAGCATCACAGAGGGCAAACAAAGCAAATTGAGTGTGAGGGCAATTTTAAAGTGAGTATTTTAGGTTCTGTTCCATTGATCTCAGTTCCAATGTATGATTGAAAATAATGGCCAGATTGCATTTTGCTAAAGCCTGAATTATGGTCATTTTCCTTCTGAAAACCTTCTGCTTTTTCTTCTCTCCACGGTCTTGTAGATCACTGGTCTTTTCTCATATCCAGCTTGGTGTCATCACTTTAAAGACTGTACCCTTGAGTATTCTTCCTGTACCACCAATTTTTATTTAGAATTCCAACTGCTCTGGGAAAGTGTGAAAATTATAGCATCATGCTGCTTTGTCACTCCATCAAGACACTCTTGTGTGAAGAGCTCACACTGAGACGTTGTCAACATACTGTAATGCTGGTAAAATGATGTTTGTTTAGCTTCTGTTGTCCTGATGGCTGTTGTTTGCCTGACAAGGTTTTTTGTAAGTGTGCTGGCAGTAGGCAGACAAAGGAACAAATAGTTTATATAGATTCCCTACTTAAATATAGGACACGTTGGGCTACAAATGCAAACCGGCTCTATCAAGAATTTTCATGATAAATGGCTGCCTGACCAATATAAAATTACTACATAGTACTTGTACAATATTGTATCCCAGTCTACTTCTCTCCAGATGTAGCAGGAATGTATAACAGTGTTTTACTTTCCTTTGTGGTCATTGTCTTTGAAGTATAAAACAGACTTTCAAGTAGGAAAAGGCATTTATACCACATGTACATAATCTCATCTGCATTCATCACATGTGACTGTGTGTATGTAGTATGTATGCTTTTTCCATCTCTCTCCGGAGAAAAATAGTCTTGTGTAACGTGGACCTTAGTTGGCACACCAGACTGTGTGGGTGTGGTGCCAGAACTAG